TTCCACACACTTCCCATCACCCCCTGCGCCAGCTTAACTTTTTCTCTTGCCTGGCACTACTACCCACACCCCTAGCTTCTAAGAATGCCCCTGCAGTCCAAGTGGGACCCAAAGGCATTCTTGGAAATCAAGATTATGCTGGAAGCCAGCACTTCACATTGCAGCACATCAGCCTCCCATGTATTTATTGTTTGGACTTAGGGAAAAAAATAAAAAGACAGGACTATAAGGGTTTGGCTGGCACCAAGCGAGATGTCTGCAGGGACATTTGTGTGCCCAGCACCATGTTAGAAACTCCAGACCTGGAGCATTCTAAGAAGCTGTTTCTATTTTTGCCTTTGGGGATGTTCAAGTTTTGTCCATATACATTACTTGTTGTTTAGAGTTTAACTCTCTCCATGGGGCCTCTAGCAGTTAAATGTCTGAGTGGAGATTAGTTGCCTCTTTACCCTTTGCAACATGGGCTACAGTCCCTAAGACCCAATGCAGTGCTTTGCTAACTGTTGCACACACTGCAACAACTGACTAGCAGTCTGAATTATTCTTCCAGCATTGAAAGACAGATTAGTGGTTAGTTATACCTCTTGAATGGACAAAAACTTTAGCTAGTAAAACAGGCCTACAGTACATAGATTAGAGCACTTAACTGCTCTCACATTTAGCGTCATCCAAGCTATCTGAAAGAAGGTAAGGGTGTTTAAAACCACTACAAAATGTTACATGAACAGCCAGGATTGTACATACAGTACCATAATATCCAGGCCCAAACATAAAGCACCAATCCTGGTCCACTTGTATTGGCTGCCTATGTTTCTTATCCTGGTTTTAACGTATGTTGGGGAAATCCAAATAAATCTGTATAAGAGAAAGTTTGCTTGTATGTGCCTTTGTGATATAAAATCAAACCCGCAGTGTCCCTGCTTAGAAAGAACCAGAATTCTCAGCCAGGCTTCTTTTCCCTAAAGCATTATTAATCATTTCTCCCTTTAAGAGACTGAGATTCTCTGCTCACCTGAAGCTGCTGCTACATTTAGTTGCAAAGTTAAACTTGTTACATTGTTAGCATGTTGCTGCATTAAGGCTTTGTATCCTGTTACCTGCTGAACTGCAGCAAACAGCCCTGACTAGACTTTCCTGTTCTTATGAAATCACCTGCTCTTGCATGTCAACACCCACACCCAAACCCTGGTATGATTCATGTGCCTTTCTCTTTGTCAAATCAAAGAGAAAGGCACTGTTATCACTGATATTTACTGTAACATTATGTCATAGCCCCTCTGCAGTTAACTCATATTATTCTGTTTATGGATGTGTTATATTTTGAAATGTTCCTTTTCTTCCCTCATCATCAACCCTGCTCCTGTGCACGTGACTCGATGCCTATAAAACACTCTGTGTATGTTCTGGAACTTCATGAAGGGTTGTCTCTGCAGAGGGGTTTCCTGAGTGTTCTCACCAATAAAATTGCTGTGGTTCATAACATAAAGGTCTCCCTGTGGATCCAAGCATACATTCTCACAGACTGCTAAACTGGGATTCCCTGACACCTATAAAGTGCTACACAGCTTGGGACTCACATACTTGGTTGTAGTGAAATGTTTATGATGCTTTTTTGTTATTGTATTTTATATTCTAATTTTATTGTACTTTGTGAGTGGCTGTAAACTGCCTGGACAGCTTCTGCTATTGGATGGAAGAGAAATAAAATAATAATGATGATCCTCATAGATGACATGTGTAAATATAGAGGCCCTATGCTGGTGTTTGTTGTCTGAATCGATGCTTCAGAAGTCACATCAGCAGGATAGTCAAATGAATGGTATTTGCCACCAGTTGCCAAATGAATGTGGCAGCTGGTGGCAAATACCAGAGAGCATGCTTCTGCTTTCTGGTAGGGTCAATAAGTTTTCTTCCATGTCCTCATTCCCAAATTAATGTCCAAACTGCGCCCTCTCCCATGTATGCACTTTTGTGGCCTGTGACTGGGTCTGAAAGGTATGGCAGATGAAGGAGAGACCTGCCATTGAATGCTGTTATCAGTTGGTGGCCTTGACATGTGAACTCACGCATGGAAGGGTTTTTACCATGGCTGACAACCACAATAAGAACCCATGGTGTACTATAGGGTTTGTCTGACCCACAAAGACTTACCATGTCATCTGAACCTGGACAGCATGATCCTTTGTGGGACAAGCCTGACAACAGGTGTGCTGCTTGGCCAGAGTCACAAAGTCCTGTAATAATCTTGCCATGTAGCTAGCCAGTAAGCAAAAATGGCCGCTCCCCGCAAAGTGGAGACAGAAGAGAAAGAAAGAAAGGAACAGACCAGGTCCCTAAAAGTGCCCAACTGGCTGTTGGAGGCAGATACCAGAGGCTTTCCCCATTGGCTACAGCAGGGATAACCTCAATGCTGCTGCTGCTGCAAGCAGGAAGGTTGCACACTGGCAGGGGAGATTAGCTTGGTCAACCAGCCCGCTCACAGCTCCGCTGCCCCACGCCACTGAAGCAAACCCCTGGCTGCAGTGGCCCTCCCCCCCACCTCATGCTTCAGGGAATGGCCCTTACTTGCACTTCAGAAACAAATAAGAATGAAATATGGTTTTTCTTTTTTCAAATTCGTATTTGTCCCTGTTAACCCAGTTTCATGTACCTAAATCTGGAACCAGCTCATCTGTCCAACTTTCCCATCTTCCCCCGTTGCAGAAGTAGGGGAGATGATACAGTACTGTCAGAGCGGCAACCCTTTCTTTGGTCTGATATACATTAACCATTCTAGTTGCACCCCAAGTACTGGAGGAAAAGATACAACCTCAAAAAATGTACGTACTACACCCTCTGGTTCTTCTTTCAGTGCTTGGAAGATTGCAGGTTAAGGTCACTAATCTGAACTGGCTGCCTTTCCCAGAGTAGAATAGAATGAGTCTCTGCATGGTTAGTATCATAATTAAGATCAACTAAAATTTGATTCAGCTTCAATTTAAAAGGCAATCACAAGTGTCAGTAATAACAGAATGCCCTGTAAATGTGCATGTAGATTAAAATCTTCAGAAAAGACTAGTGAATTTGTACATTGGCCAGTATATATATATTAGCCAATGTTCCACTTCACTAATATATGGTATATTTTGCTAAAAATTAATGATAATCCACTATAGAAACAAGAGTTGAGCAGAAAGGATGGATGCTCTGAATAACATCTTTTGGTAGAGGCAGAACAGTGCCTTCCATTCAGCAGTTTTCAGAGTATTGCTGAAACATGGCAAGAAGGTTGTGTCTTCTCTTTTTGTTCTCCCTTTCAGAAAGAGAGTAATGTGGATCCAAGCATTACTATCCTCCCTCTGAGTTGGGTACACGCCATTGCCAGTTTGCGTGGCTATCTTTCTATCTTGGCTATCTTCATGTGTATTAGGCAACCTGACAAAGTTCTCTGAGGGTTTTCTTAAGAATTCCCCTGAGGAAGGCTGTTAATGATCTATTGGGATGAAACACTTAAAGAATAAGACTTTTTTTTCAGCAACTTGAGCCTAGCTCCCTCTTGCTGGATCTATTTTGGATGCTTTCCAGTTCTCTCATAGCTTCCATGCTATTACTGCCCAGAACATGGCAATCCTAAAACAACAGTCATAAAATAGAAGAGGGGGGGATGCAGCAAAAAAAATGAAAGCGCAAGAAATTTGCCTTCTCAGCCATTCCCTGGAAAAAATCTTGTTTCTTCCAAAAGCACAACTAAGAGGTAGATTGGAGAAATGTGCTGCATAGTCTTTGTGGCAATGATAGTATTCAGACTATCATTAAAGTTGGAGCCTGGTAGTGTGAAAGTGTCAAATTCGCATCTTTCCACATGGAATGACATTTAAAGACTCAAGCTTAAAACTTGAAATTGCATCCATTTGTGCTCAAGTCTTGAAATGACTTTGGAGAGGGGGAAAGGACCATGCTGAGATTATAGTACCATACTTTAAAGAGCAAATAGTCCCCAGGCTTCAATGAAGATCAACTTGCAAATCTGATAATTTACCAACTCTGGCTCAGCATTTCCTTAATGGTTTTTGCTAATTAGAAGCACAAACATTAATGAAACTTTAATATTTTCCTTCACCAACAGAAGGCAATATACTGCAAGAGGTCAAGGATCATGAAGGATTCTAAATTCACATTGGATCTCCATTGAAAAGTTTTTGCTAAAACAGACTTCAGACTGAGACAAGGAGGCAATTCTTGTCTGAACTTTCCCAGAATGAATATCCTTCTTAATGAATAGGCTGACTTTAGGGACTTATAATAGCTGTTCTTCCTTTTTGCTGGCTGTGTGCTAGAAATATGAGCATAATGAACTCTGGAAATAAATGATGAACCTATCCCCAGATAGCAGAAGTCCAAAAAAAGGAAAGTATGATGGATCCAAGGAGATTAATGTTGTGTATCACCATATTAAAACTCCCTGTTTCTAAAACCATACAGGCCACTAAATTGGTGTCCAAGTGAATGAGGCAGCAGAAGAGAACAATCACTGGCAGCAAAATGCACTTAATCCCAATATTTGTAAAGTGCTTTTAATTTAACACAAATATTCATCTGAAGATGGTTTCTCATTGCAGTCTACAATTATTTAATTTATACTGAGAGCCATTAACATTTGCAATTGCAACAGAGAAAAAATGGAATAAAAAACACAACAGTTCTTACTGTAGGGCACTTTTACCCAACTTGGGCCATGTCAGCTGCTTTGATCTACAACACCCAGCATTCCTGTTCACTGGCCATGTGGGATGGCTGATGGGAGTTGAAGACCAGAACATCTGGAGGGCACCTAGATGGGGAAGGCTACCTGTATTTATTCCTTTCAGGGTGTCATTTGTGTGTGTTGGAGAGCTAGCATAAGATAAGTGGTTAGATATAAACACCTGATCTATGAAACACCCATCAGCACCAAATATATCAAAGGAACATATGAGCTTAGCCGTAAATTTACCTTTCTGTGAGCCCGTACAAGGACTTACCGTTCTGTACATGCTGCTTCTGGTCTCCTGCTGCTGGACTGAACTCTGTCTCCTTTTCCACCTGAGTTATGTTTTTCCCTGGAGAAGCATCATGCTTGCTACCACCAGTTTGACGAGTCCCATTGAGTTTACTCTTACTGGCTTCTGTGCTCTTAGTCTCCCCTGAATTCCCTTCTTTACTCTTCTCTGACTTGCTGGCAGTGGTTTCCTCCATTGGCTTTTTCCCTTCTTTTTCATCTATTTTCTTGTCTTCAGTAGCCTGTTGAGAATTCTCCTCTGCTTCTTTCTTCACTTTTTCTTCTGCATCCTCAGCAAAAGCAAGAACAAAATAGCAGGAGAGATGAAGAAAATCATTTAGCAGATTTACTGAAAAGGCATCTCTCATTTCATTTTTAGTGTCAGGATGGAAGTCCCACCCTTGGGCCTTTAAAAGATATTTAAAAGTGTCACACACAGGTACTCTGATCCTCACTTGCCCAGAATTAGAGGGCCCATGAGGATCATGTATGCAGGTGATTTGGATATATGCAATTCATGAGGATACCTATGAATGGCAATTGCTCCTAATAGTTAAGTGGAAGCTCCATAGTCAAATGCTGAATTCCAGAAGCTGGGAACATGTGCTGAGCAGACCTGTTGCCATCCTGACCTACTAATGTAATTCCCAAAAGCATCTGGCTGGGCTGTTCCGGATGCTGGGTCATCCATGAACCCTCAATCTGATCCAGCAGGATTCTTCTTATGGTCAGAGTTGTCTCAAGGTATGTGAACTCTTGAATTCTTGTAGGATCATCACAAGCATCCATTAAAAAGGTGGGCAACTGTGGAGGGTTGGAACAGCCACCTCAGAACCCCCAGAATTCCCTGGGGGTTGTGCCCCTCTGTCACTCTCGCTACAACTGAAAGTGCTGCTGCTCTGCAACTGGAAGTGAGCTGCACTCCCAGTTACTCTGCTGGGAAACAAGGTGCATGGGAGTGCATGCCTTGTTTTCCAGAAGAATCATAGAAAAGTGGAGTTGGAAGGGGCCAAGAAGATCGTCAGGTCCAATTGCCCAAGCAATTGTCTTGACCTTTACTCCTACTTCTAGTTCATATATAATGGCCATTTATGGGTTATTTAATCTACAGGATCCCAAAATTTAGCGGGAGTATGTAACTGCACTGCTGCCAACATAGTCATTGTCTCTCCTTTCTGTTAACAACCCATGGTCACGCCAGTCTTAAGTTATTAGCATCATAACAGAACCTGGATGTTCTGGGTTATTTAGGGATTAAACAATCCAAAAGTAACCCAACAAGGAATTGTGAATTAATCCTGGTTTGTTTAATCCCTGAAGATTCCTGAGCATCCAGCTTCAGCTATCACATTAATCTCTTATGAATGAAATTTGATGTTAACTGAAAGAGGAAAGGTGTTCATTGAAAGCAGAACTGATGAGCACCCCAGAGACAGTGCACTCAATTGCTCCCCCTTTCTTGTGTGACTTGCGGGACCTGGATCCTAACACTCACTCGAAGCCATGAAGCTCTCTGGCTGACCCGCCACCAGCCTAATGCACCTCACAGGATTTTGGTGAGTATAAAATTGAGGGGAAGAAGATTAGGTAAGTCACCCTGGATTCCTCCCAGGAAAAAAGCAGAGTGTAAATAAATACATTTATTTATGGACTTCTTCAGTGCGGTATAAATATCTCTGAGTGTAAAGTCCATAGAAAATATGCTTTGAACCCTTCTGGGCCTTTGAACAACACCCACACACACACACACACAGAGCATCTATCAGAAAGATGGGCATTTGAGTTGTTATTATTACTGAACCCAGCAGTTCTTACCTTTGGTTGCTTGTGCTTTCCACTTTTCTCGGTTTTGTTGCACCACCTCGGTCCAAGTGTTCTTAAAACATTTGAAGTCCACAGTGAGTATGGAACAGTTGAGAGAGGCACTTCCTTCTGATCCAGTGCTCTTGACACTCGATCTTTTAACTTCTGAGGGGCTGATGCTATTCAGACTAGGATTGCACAACATAAGAGGAGGTCATTTTTTTAAAACTGTTAGAGCCAGATGTAGATGGTAGAAGTATTAAATGAACAAATGCTCCATTTCTTCCCCACTCTAGCTTGGCCTTTCTGACCTCTTGACTTTTGAGCAGCATTATCCATCTTCTCTCTCTGGGCTGGATTCCAGCCATGCTTGATTTAAGCCTGCCTGTTCTCAGCTGAGAAAACGCCTGACTTTTCATGCAAATCCCACAGTCTTTGGAGCATCAGATCAGCCTGAGTTCTGAGGCTGTTCTATGGTGCCAGGCAATTTTCAGGTAAGAACCAGGCTGAATCTGATGCAACACATGGACTTGTCATTAATGATGCATGTACTGAAGAGGTGGTAAGACCACTATTTCATCTTGAGCAATAGCAATCTGGATTACTCCAATCAACGATGTGACACTCTAGCAAGAATTTCTGAATCTGTCATTATTCTAAATCCAGTGTCTGGTTTACAAGTCCAACCATATTGAATGCAGAGGACCTGCATATCTAAAGTGGATAATATGTATATTGGGTGGCAAATTGCCCAGATGAATTGATCAAAATTGGTCTAAGGTATTGCTCTACTATCTAATATTATCCAGCTATTATTATGTAAATATGTTTAGGACATTACCACCTTATAATAATGCTGACTCCATTTCATGGCCTACTGCTACATTACCTCCCCCAAGACCAGAAAGAGAATAAGAAATAGATTGCTAACCATATTAACTGTAAATGCAAAGGTTCTGTGGAATTCAGTGTGTGTAAGGCAGGGGCAGGCAACTTTGGTGGGTTTGGGTGTCAATGCCAGCCTCTGGAACACCTTCCAGGAGCTACAGCCATGTTACCAGTGAAATCTGGCAGGACCACACTGCCCAAAACAGCAGTGTTTCACTGCTAAAATTGGTGGCAAACCACAACAAATGCTGACAAGGATACACGAATTCTTCTCTAGCTAAATTGGTTCCCTTCCAGACTCTGACATGATTCACCACTTATTTTTCATTTCCTTTATTTTGCTGCTGCCACATTTCATTGATACAACAACAGAGGAAAAGGGCTGCTGTGGAGGCCATGGGAACCATGCTGCATACAGCCCACCCCTGAGGCAAGGGCTTCCCTGTCTTGTATGAAGAGGATAGCTTTGGGTTGTGGCACGGACATTCTGCCTTCTTCCTGCCCTTCCCATTGGTGAGAACTTCCAGACTTCCAAATGACTGCCCATGAGTACAAATCAGAGAATTCAGTTTAAACACGGAATGGAGCTCCCGTTGCAAAGTTAAGATCCCTACTGACCTGGAGCGTCTAAACCCTGTCAGGCCAGAGTGGGATGCTTCCTCAATGAGAGGCGTTACAATCTTCTCCGTCATGTCAGTCAGCACAGTGAAAGTGGGCTCCACAATGAAATCAATAAAACCTGGAAAAGGCACATCACAGAACGAAATGCAAGAGGGTCACTCACACTGAGAGGTCAATCTACGTAGCAAGATGGATAAGCAGACAAAGGTCGTGGTGCCGCGCAATAGCAGGGGGTTGGACTCAATGGCCTTCCAACTCAACTATTCTATGATTCTATGAAATACCTGCAGCACACACAGAGAAAGGTCAAGCAGGACGTGCATCCTGGGAGCAGGCATTATCATCTCACTGCAATTCCTACAAGGATGAAAATAAAGAGTTGCAAGCCACCAGCATAAGGCAGGTGGGACTAATCTGGTTTTGTGTGGGTTCTGTGGGAATCTGAGCCAATTTCTTGGTTTAGCTGGTTATGACCCAACTTGGAGGTTGAAATCTATGGAAGAACTGCAATAATAAAGCTATAATAAGAGTACATAGTTGTGGATGTTCAAAGAGACGTGGCACATAGATTCCCTTGCATTCCCTCATTCTAAACATTGCATTGGATCTGCCAGGCAATTATCAGATGTAATTTCATGACTTTTCTGTAAATGCAATTTGATGTTCGGTTATTAGGTTGCTTTGGGTGAATAATATAATGGCAAAAAGTAACTCCAAAGAAATTCTCATTACTAAAAGTACCTTGTTGTATACAGTGCATATTTCAGAGCAGTAAAACTGGAAACCCAATTTGTAGCGCAAATTAAACAAATTGGGTACTACATTACAGAAAGGTCTAGAGAAGCTCTATTGGTAAAAATATGGCCACCAATGTCAAATGTAATTACAATTTCACATTATCCCTTTTATTTAATTGGGTTTGCGTGGGACAGTTCCAGTCACCTAGAATTCATTATAAACTTGCCCTTCTATGAGGAAATGAGACCAAGCAGTGGTTCCTAAGTGATGTTCCATAGATTGCTGATCATTCATGTGTGCTGGCAGTCCCATTTTCCCCATTCTGCCCTGCATTTCACAGATAGTCTTAAAGGACGGTCACACATCTGATGGTGCACTCACCTAGCAGGCACTAAGGGATGTTTCACATATTACATGTTTAGATATTCAGCTATGCTTTTTATAGCAGCCATTTAAAAATGTAATATGTGACTAATATAACCACATGATTGAGTATGTGTGTAAACCCAAATGCATTCTTAGGATTTTAAAAAGGAGAATGAACAATGTCAGAGCTCATCTGGGTTCTCTGTATTCCACCTTGATGCTCATCTCACCTCACTTTTGTTGCCAAACCCTTTTTGTTCCTGCACTTTTATGATAAAAGTACCCCTTTACAAGCCTGCACCCAAAATGTACATTTTCCTCAGAAAGCAAAGCACAGTCATGCAACAGAAGGGAAGTGCAAGTACACATTTTCAAACATAGACACAAGCTTGAGAAGCTATGAATATTCCCAAAAATTATGCTTCTGGTTACACTTCTTTACAACTGGAATTATGCTCCTGTTTACAAATGGAATATGGCTGCATGATCTGAGAACAAGAGCAACATTCTCATATATCTCTGCTCATGATAAAAAAGTCAGAGCATCTTGCCAACAGATGGGAAGCCCAGGTTTCCTGCTACATATTATGTAGAACTGACCATAAATCCCCTTGAGCATAATACAACTTCCTTCTGTGCAAACATGTCAGGGATTGTACTACACAAGACACAAAGAGTATTTTTAATAGGATTTTAATGCACAGGGCAATGAGTAGGGATAAGGGGAAGCTTAACTCCCGATGTGGCAGCTGTAATAGGATTATAGGGCTACCTTCCATTCAGAAGAGGAGGAGGAGGAGGAGGAGGAGGCAGGGTGGAGGGTGAGGAACTTTCTGCCCAACATTCAACAAGAATAACATGGCCTGTTATTAAATGCACAACAAGTTCAGCCACTGTCATCTGATTGTCAATGTTTGCCCAATATGTTATGAAACTGAGTTTGTTCCTTGCCAGGCAAAGGGCAAAAATGAAAGAATGTTACTACACTAATCAGCAGAAAGAGGCACTGATGACAAGAAGGAAAGTCTCCAATCAAACCAACCTCCTACAGCTCCAGACAGAAGGAGAAGCTTTTACAACTTCTAAGCCTCCTGTTGAGCAACAGAAATTTCTTGACTTGGCATTGTATTGCATTTTAGCCTGAATGATGAGAAAGCCAACTGAATTTCTGCTATCAGCACTTGGCTCATGGCAAAATTCTGTGAAATGAACCTGGCCTTTAGAAACAGGCCTCAGGCATTTTAGCTGGGTCATTTCATTAATGCAACACACCAAGGAATTATTGCTCTCCTTTACTGAAAACTTTTTAATCATTAAAAAGGAGGCCAAATGCCAGTACCAGGATCTCTGCAGTCACTGTTTTAAATGTTATAATAATGTTTAAAGTACAGCAAAATATCCCTGAGTCTTAAATCCTTGAAGATGTTTCTCAGCACAAAGCATATAGCTTGGGAGTTATTAGAGAGAGCTAATGAAAGACAGGAAAGAATATGTACCACTCCAGCAAGCCAAGCAAAATGTAAACCAAAATTTACTTTTGTGAATTCAAAACTGAATCTTCGTGAGTCCAGGAAGATTTTATTTTGGCTTAGTTTCCAAGCCACCCCAATCTGTGCACCCTTCGCCCTGATTTTCACGTCACATTTTGCTCTGTGAAATGTGCCATTATGCATTCCATAAACACTCGGCTGGCTCTCCTTCATTTAGGGCACAATCCTATGCAGGTTTAGAAGGATTTTCTTTTTGAAACTCCCATTATGTTCCAGCCAGGATAATGGGAGTTGTAAGTCTTTCTTCTGTCTAAACAGGCATAGGACTGTACCCTTAGTTTTCTCCACCTGAGACTCTGTGAGATCATTTTCTGCCAGAAAGTTGGTCACAAGAGCATAATATACATAATTTGGAATAACTCTAACAGACTAAGAATTGCAAGTGAAGTGTGTGGAGGTATTTTGTGTCATTCTGATACCGTCAGTGGCTGTAACAGCATCATTATCCCACTCACTTCCAACCCCCTGGTACTTTTGCTTGTCACTTATACTTATTTCATTGCTGTAGATAACCCTCAGCCCACGATTTATGACTATAGGGTAGCTCTTGTAAGAAATGAATCAACTCTACTTCACTAGAAAATTGCTATCAATCATATAATGAAATATTCTCCAATTGTCTTCTGACAGCATCATTGAGCCAAACCTTACATCTCTGCATAGAAAAGGGAAATAAATATATGATAGTTCTTGATTTAATCACAGAATCACTATATAGAGACATTAAGTAATTACCCACTGAGCGGCAAGCCGAGAAATGAAAACTTCAGAATATTAAGCAGATGAGATTTACAAAGATGTAAATTATTGACAGCAGTGAGATGCAGTAAATTTTCCCAAATTAAATAAAATGCTAAAACAGGCAAGAACTGTATAAATCAGTCATTAGTACTGACTGAGTGCTTGATTTGTTTACTATACTTATTTTTGCTAACAGTCTAATTCACCATTAATTCCCCCATGATTTGTGCAATGAATAAGGACCTTTGTACTAAAGGCCAAATGCTGTCTGAAGCTCTGTCCAGAAAAACAAAACTAAGGGTACATTTCCATCCTTCAGGCCAACAGGGTCTGCCTTATAACCAGACCCTAACAAACTTGTGCTGTTTGCTCTGCTTAGCAGCCATTCCCGACAGTCTCAAGGCATGACAATTATTTAACTCAGGGCTGAGCAGCATTGCTCATGCCTCTCCTTGGCCTTTCGGTGCTACCAACTGCTGCTGCTGACATTGCAAGGCCCAGCAGCGAGAGTGGGCTACCTTTGTTTAAAACAAGGTGTGCAGAGAGCATCCTCTTTGCAAACCCAACTGCGCTCCTGTAACCCCCCAAGTCTAGGATTTTGCCTGCAAATAATGTGCATGCTGCCCATTGCACCTTCTTGCAAAGAAAAATTGCCGCTTGAAAGTGCCACGTCATCTCTTTTTGGCAGTAACATCAGTCACACTATGGTGGCAATGTCAGTGGTGGGACAGAATGCAGCCCCAGGTGGGTGTGGCAGGTGGGAAATAGTCCCTAATTTAACTAGCAATGGAAACATTATTTATTTAATTTCTATACTGCCCAACCCAGCTTTGCGGGTGATGTACAACAGTGAATAAAAGCAGTACAATAACATACAATAAAAGTATTATAAATTCTTGGCAAAAGAAACTTTAAAAATTAAAAATGGCTAAACACAAACAGGGAAGAATGACCAGAATACCTGGGTTGGGTAATACCCTCAAACCCCTGGATGACCAAGCACATATTTAAAAGTCTTGGCATAAAGGACTATCTTAACATGGTGCTGAAAAGTTGGCACCAGGTGGGTCTCCATGGGGAGCTCATTCCATAGATGGGGCCACCACAGAGAAAACCCTTCCCCTTCTTGCCACCCTCTGAGCCTCGTTCAGGATTGGCACTTGGAAGAAGGCCCCAGAGGTTGAGCATAGAGTCTGAGTAGATGGCTCTAGGGAGAGGCACTCATCTCCATGCTACAGGTGACCTGTGACCTAATCCAAAATACAATCTGGTTTCTCTTAAAAATCCCTTGGATGGTTCTTCCAAGCAGGAACATTCAGCTTTGCCTCAAAAGTGGGCTTCAGACAACATGCAGAGATAACCCTAGGCATCAGCCTTTTCCTGCCTTCTAACTTCCCCTCCTGGATATCACTTTGTTTCTATGTACTTGCTGTCCAACCATATCGTTGTACTGTAAGCTTGCTCAGAAATCTCAGAAGATGTGAGATCAATTTGAGAGCAGTGTCCATCATCTGATTCCTGCCCCCAAAAGGCATGGGGAATTTTAGGCCCTGCAAATGCCTTCCCAGATTACAGAATTGAGAGGAAAACACTGCACAGTCCACAGGATGGTATCTTATTTAATAATTTTGCTCATACATAATTAGCTTCCAACTTCTGGAAATTGCATTTGTTTAGTGGGAAGTTTTATGCTAGGTGCTGAAAATTCAGGTACTAGAATTCTGAATAATTTGTGTGTGTGTTTCAGGTGTAATTTTGAAATGAAATGTCTTGATCTTCTTTAGCATTCTGGTTTTTCTGCAAAGTTAGTTCAGCCATATTCTCCTGCCTGATCTCTTCATGCAAAATTATGTGTTGTTCCTGTGCTACCAAATTTTAAAAAATGCCCTTTGGAGGGAAGAATATACACAATGCCCCCACATCTTCTCCGGCGACTGTCTTCTTGGAAGGCAGAAAGGGCATGTCAGATAGACTTTTCTGTTCAACAAAAATAGAACAAGAGCAGGAAGTTCCTGGTTCCACTCAGACACAACAAAGTCCAGTGTCATCTCATGACTAACCAGCAAACTAAATCCATGCAAAACAACTTGAGAAAAAGGTAGGCCACTGGAAGAAGTCAGGATGCAGGGGAACAGAAGTAAATAAGAGCTGGGCAACTTCAGACAGTCCATGGGCTAGCTGTTCCCTTGGACATGCCACTGGCCACCAACGAAAAGATAAAAGGAAGTGGGAGAAACAAGCTAAATATGTAAATTATAACCCCCTTAGTAATTACAGTGGCTTAGAATAGACACATTTTGCAAGAAAGCAAGGTAAATTTGTTCATCCTGATGCTCTGTAGCACTTTCCTGCTGAATTTCCATGCTAAGCCAGGATATTTTCTTCCTTTTCTTAAAAAAAAGAAAAAGAAAAAGCCGGTGGCACCTGGGGCCACCTGTGGGCACATCAAGGACATGCCATGAGTTGTGTATCTCTGCACTAGGTAAACAAAACAGAGTCATGGGTAACAATTGGCCTTGCAATAGCCTTGTATAGCTCCACCTTATTTATTTATTTAAAACATTTCTATGCCGCCCCATTCGCCGAAGCCTCAGGGCGGCTCACAACATAAAATTAAAATATAATACATAACAAATTAACAATATAAAACCTTGGGCAAAGAGGATTGGCGCAGCGATCCGGTGCTGCCATGTGCTGCCCAACTATGTGCTGAAGGGCCTGTGTGGCTCCCCTCTGCCACAAAAGCTTTTCCTGGCGAGAGAGATGGCAACAGAGAGTGGCAAAGTCACAAGAGGCCTTCACTGTGGTCCTTCTTCCTTAATGATGCAGTGAGACAAAGAGCAAGGAGCTCAGAAAAGCTTTTCTGAAAAGATGTGTGGGAACAACTTGGCGCACAATATCAAATTCTGCTTTGTGCATAATATGCAATGCTTCTGTGGCACGGGGCTACATTGTCCGTTATACATAAGATGCTTACTCATCTGAGCAAAGTAACTATCACTGAGCTATTATTCCTCTACTTTTGGGTTCTACAAAATAAGACCTCTTGGGCAGTGGCTTTCCTGCCAAGAATCACTCTCCCACCCCACTCCTCCTGCTTTGAAAATCTGCTGGCTGTGCCTACCTATCTGAGACTGAGGAACCATGGTGGATTTACGATCACACAAAGGGGAGAAAGGAAGACCAAGTTCCGCTTCTTTGTCGCCCTGAGAAATAGAGAGAAAGAGCAAAAGGTAAGTTAGAATACATCAAGGACTAAAGGGCATAAGCCATCTTCTCATGCACTTTCCATTTGTATGACTGAGACTTACACAGGATTAATTTGTGATGTATTTTAATCTTAGCATTGGGGGGGGGGTGCATGTGTGCGTGCATGTGAGAGAGAGAGAGAGAGAGAGAGAGAGAGAGAGAGAGAGAGAGAGAGAGATTGGCTGTGAATTTCTTAGCTCTGTTCCAGTAGGCCATAATGGAGAAAAATTTAGACACACTCTGTGACTCTTCCCCCTTAAGATCTGCCATCTCTCATTCCAGCAGAGAAGAGACCATAGTGACAACTGACCAGGAAAAATAACTCCTTGGACTGGCCAGTATCTAGCTTCACTTATTCATATTCATATTCATTGGTGTATATAAGCCAAAATGCTTGACTGGTGGCAAGAAATTCTGAGGAGCTGTCAGCTGCGTAAAATTACTATACATACAAGGATTGCATAACTACTTATGGGGACTAAGGAGCCAGAGTCTTGAGCTCTGTCCTAGGTTATCATTTCATATCACATGCTGCTATGACAGTCAGGATTGCCAATAGACTAGGAAAACAGAGCCAGCAACCTGTCCGCTGTTTGCATTAGCTCTTGGGAAGGTCACAGATCTGAAGGGTCACTTCTCCATTCACAGAGCAGCATAGAAGGAGAGGGGGAAAAGCCCCTGCAGCATCATGGCATAACAAGGAAAATTTGAACTTGACCTATTGAGTGCTACGTACTGGTAGCATTAAATTAGCTAATGCTCATGTATACATGCTTGCAAAAGCATCTCAGAGATCCATTACTCCAGCCCCACTGTCTAAAATGAAACATGGTAGCTGGCTTAAATCATCCATCTGCTAAAATAATGCATTAAAATCTGTAATTAAAGAGCTACAGCTCATACTGCCAGCATTTTCCATAGATGTGGGACCTTGTTATGCTGCTGGAAAGTCATACTGTCAACTTAATGCTATTAAGCCAAAGTAGACCCATTACATATAATATCTGCCTGACAGCTGATGATCAGTCAGGCTGTATACAAATGATCTGCCGTACGGGTACGCATAATTGAATGGATAGTTTCCTCTCAATGAATGGCCTCTTCAGTCCTGAAGAAGAAAGCTAGAAGGGCTGCTGCAGAGTACTAATTCCCTTTTCGGTATGCTTGGGTCAGCTAAAGTGCCTTGTTTATCTAATTGAATTTCAGACACTCTTATCCTTCCTGCACAGATGGGGCTTTCTTTAATGTCTCCACTACATCGTCTTGCAGACTAGCTCACATTGCCCCATTTGTCCATGGTCCTGTGAAGGGCATGGACCCAGCCACGGCTGAACTGGGATTATTACTTTGTTGGGGTTACTTTTGGAAGGTGGCTCTGAAGCAGCAGGTAGAGCAAAACAAAGTAGGCCACTTACTGACAGGGCTAGGTGTATAGAACATAATACTCTACATTGGCCCACTTGTTCTGTCTGCTATCAGGCCCTGTTGAAAATGTTAGCTATGACAAGACTTAAACAGCATTGGCCCAGCACCTCTGAAGGAATGTGTCTTCTGTAGGAACCTCCTTTTTTGAAAACAGCTATCAGGGAGACCTTTATTCTCCTCAGGAAACCTACCTGAGCTTTGCAGTATTGTGGAAATTTGGAGTCAGTTTCTCAGGGTGACCTTTCAGCCATTTCCTTCATAACATGCAAGCATAAGGTGAACACTTCTGTATTTCCCTGTGCTTTTTTTATCTAAGCAGCGGTTTTCAGGCTTCTGTTTTTTGTGGGGGGGGGGTGGTTTACTGTGTAATGTTTTGGCACACTGTAATCAACATGTTTTAGAAATAAATAGCAAAAGAAATAGAGACATCACCCTTCACTTGAGATAACTTCTACACACGGCTTATCAAGGGATGATAGGAATGATTCAAAGGCCAACTTCACTTCACTTCAGCGTTGAAATACCTCATAAGCAATGAGGTCAGTATGAGTCCAACTCTTGTAAGCCCAGAATAACTAGGATAAACAGCCCCTTAGGTGAATACAACAAGTGTTGATGGGTCTTTCAAACAAGCTAGGAACTTGTTTGAAAACATCCCAAGTTGATTCATACTTATCGTATTAGTAGTTGATAGAAAAGTATCCACTTATAGTTCAATCCTTTATGTCAGAGGTACGTCCCACTGGGTTCAGTACAGCTTGTTTAAAAACATTTTTAAATGTTTCATTTGTTGATTATCTGATCCATCATTCAGAAAAATCCAAGACTATATGTGCTAAGAAAAGTCTTCTCCCCATGTCATTCTAAAAGGGAGCAGACAGCACCCCAAAAATCACCAATTCAATGAAGACAGTAATCAAGGAATCAGATTCCACTATGTGCAAATATAAAAGTGGGTTTGTTGTTGTTAGTCACGAAGTCGTGTCCGACCCATCGCGACCCCATGGACAACATTCCTCCAGGCCTTCCTGTCCTCCACCATCCCCTGCAGTCCACTTAAGCTCACACCAACTGCTTCAGTGACTCCATCTAGTCACCTCGTTCTCTGCCGTCCCCTCCTTCTTTTGCTGTCAGTTGTTCCCAGCATTAGGCTCTTCTCCAGTGAGCCCTTCCTTCTCATGAGGTGGCCAAAGTATTTGAGTTTCCTCTTCAGTATCTGGCCTTCTAAAGAGCAGTCAGGGTTGATCTCCTCTGACTGGTTTGTTCGCTTTCCAGTCCAAGTGACTCACAGGAGTCTTCACCAGCACCACAATTCAAAGGCCTCAATTCTTTGGTGCTCAAAAGTGGGTTATTGTCCAATAATGAAATATGCGTGCACAAGCATCCACAGAAGTTACAGCCCAAAACCACTTTATTTTTGCCCCTAGGGTTGGTCTTCTTTCTACAAAGAAGAATTTGAAGATACTCTGAAGCAGCCCATTATTTCTGGGCCTTCATCCCTACCTTCCTTGTTCAACTTCTTTCACTAAACATCCAAAATAAGATTCCTTCTTCAAGTTACCTGTCTGAAAAACTCTTCAAGCAGTGACATGGTCCAGCGATGATGGAGGTCCCATGCCTTGGCAGGATGACTGATGTCAGCTGTATGCAACATCAGCGATAAGGCTTTTGGTTTGTCGATTCTGCAAACCCAACCAGTGGTACAATTGAATTGTCTGCATCATTAGACAAGAGGCAGCTAAGTAAGGAAATGAACCTTCAGATTATTGATTGACTTTGTTTACAATATTTAACAGTATGTAGTTCCCACAGACAAGGCTTCAGGAGCTAGACCTGTTCTAAATTATTAAGAGATTAATGAGGTAAAATCACTCCTAATATCTGTAGCCGAGTGTATATGGTGCTTTGAGCTGGGGTACAAGGTTCAGTCTTTTAGAGCAAACCCACAGTCCCTGAGAAAATAGTACTTGCTGTTCATCTTATCTGGGGCACTGCATGAGCCAGAACCATAACCCCTCTACCTTTCCTTGTAATGTAAAGAACTAGTAGTTGTTATTTGCGTTATTACAGGAATAATATTATGCAAATCACATAGTTGTTATAGTGGAACTAAAGGTATAATATGACAGGAATGAGTGGAGATAGCGGGTTGATATAGTTCTTTGCCAGTCATTAATCATCAAGTGCTTTGGCATCCTTACTATGATTTTATATCTTCTGTCACAAGACAATAGGAAGCTGCCTAATAGTGGGGGAGAACAATGGTCCATCTAGCCCACTACTGTCAGCACTGACTGGCAGCTGCTTTCCTGGGTTTCAAGCAGGATCCTGTCCTAGCCATTGCAGGAAGTACCAGAGACCTTTGGCATGTAAACCACTGAGCAATGACTCAGGTAATCCCTCCAGTGCTTTTCACTCGGGTGGCTGGAATATAAATCCTGCATCAAAAATACACTGTTCCCCAACAGCTAAAATCTACTTCGGAGATCTTGGCATAGCTGCACTGTCTCTTTAAAAGGGGGAGCATAATTGCAATAAAGCTCATTCCCAAGAACAGTCTGAAACCATTAAGAGGAAGAAAGGAGTAGATGCATTGCTGGAAGGCAATACAAAAAGCCTTCTCTTCCACCCAGAAGCACTTAGAAACCACAGCCAAGGGCAACATTTCAGCACTGGGAAGGAAGGCATATGATGCTTTTAGTGCCTCCTCTCCACCATCTCCTCCAATGGGAAAAGAACCAAAAGTAAGTAGTTGTCACAAGGTGGAAGGGATGTTTTTCCTGCCTCTGCTGTCCCTCTAGTTGAGCAGCAGTAACACGCTTTGATACAGTAAGGACACCGCAAAGACATGCTTTTCTTTCATCCCAGCTCCACTTTAATCCTTGCTTTACAGGAGTGCATGTGCAACTGTGTGTGTGTGTGTGTGTGTGTGTGTTCAATTCCTGTAAAAAGAAATAGGTGCAGACTTCAAAGGAAGTTTGGTTCCCCCAAAGAGACGTTTCTGAAGCTTGTTTAATGAAGTGGCAAAGTGCCAGTTATAGTACAGCCATTCCCTCTGCGCAGTCAGGAGGTGACTTACCCTTCTGGCTGCTGCAGTGCGTTCTTCATGGCTTTGATTTGCTGGAAGTGACAGGACATATCTGTAGCCAGCACCATCTCTATCACCAGGGTCCTGAATTCCCTTTTGGGTAGATAGCCAATCAAGGAGGAAGGGGGGAGAAAGAGAGAATGAGAGAGATGTAACAACCCCCTTTTTGTTTCTCTGTCTACAAATAATTTATGACATTCTCACTCTGTGCTCCCATGTGCGTCACTGAACACTTTACATTATCTTTTTTTCTGCAGCATAAGGGCAAGGAGGAATAGCTGTTGGAAATACCAGATCTGGAGTGAGCAATTGAGTCAGATGATGTGGCCTTGCCTGCTAAGTGATAACACCGTGCTTTTCAGAAACTGACATCAGGGCACTCACTTTTCTACGAAATGAGAATCACCAGGTCCTTAACATATAGTGCTAAACCTCTTTTCTTTTGCGATGCAGAAGATACGAACAATTTCCCCAGTTTTAAACATTCTAGAAGTTCAATGCATTGTTTCTTAATATGTGTTTCTTGTAGACAAATTATGTCTAACTTTCGTTTTTGAAGTTGAGCAAAAAACCTTCTTCTCTTAGATGGTCCATTTAGTCCATTAGCATTTAAGGAGAACAATTTTCCCTTCCTTTTTAAGAGCCATATTTAATAAAATTATTTACTTATTCTTTGCCTTTACAGTTCTACCTTTTTTTTTCTCCTTTGAGTCCAAAGTCTGTACTTCTTGTTGTGAATCAACCCTCAGTATTTCTCCTTCTTAAGAATGGTACGCTGTTGTTTCCATTGCTTCAGCACCTTTTTCTCCTTCTTTAGAGACGACAGGGTCCTCCTTTTCCAACATGGCTCTAAATTTTTCATAGAACTCTTGTGCTTTAAGAACTGAATCCAATTTATATCTTACAGAGTTCCATGTGAAAAATATTCCTTCTGGTATTAGCCACTTAAAGATAATCTCTTTCTTGCTCAATTTTGTAGTAAGGAATAGATATTTCTTTCGTCCCTCTCTAATCCTCCATGGTATCTGTTTCAGGACCGTCACCTCCTGACGATCATCTCTCTTTAACGGCTTCTCCTGTACGGCCTTCAAAACATTGTCTCTTATAGACCTTAGAGCAAATTTGACATGAACTTCTCTCAGAAGTTTATTTTTTCTGGTATAAGAGGAATTGACCCTAAAAACAAGGTCAATTCCCATACCCAACTCCTCATTTTGGAGTTGTTGGATTGGGCCCTTTTCTAATAAGGAGAGAATGGGTGGACTGTAACAGAAACCAGTGGTGGCTGCTGGGGTGGAGGAGGTCATTGGGAGCACTGTGCCAGCTCATGATCTCTGTACAGAGGATCACTTTCAATGGTATCTGTAGCCAGAGACTTCCCACTCCTATTCTACTTCAGCACTTCCCACCATCTCCTCCTGCTTGCCATTTCCCCTCCTTATCATCAGCTGACATATGCAGTGTATTTTCTCAAGTGAAACGGCTTAGTGGCTGCCCATGAAACAAAACCAGTATGGGGAATGTCACCAGCCACTAGATGGTTATATGAGTTTTATCTCTGTGGCCAGAAGCCCATGTGTGTGTTTTGTTCTTGTCTAGTTTCCTGACTGGTGTGTTCTCAAGCCTACCCTTACACACTACTTGTACTTCTTGAGAGAGCATGTCATCTGGTTCTTTTTTTCCTTAGTTCCTGTCAGCATTTCCTGTGCACAGGTGAGAGGAGCCAACAAGATATAGAAGGGAGGGATAAGCATAAAAATAAAATAATCTGAGAACCGAGGGCTAAGCTACACATTACACTGAAGACATGGTATGTAGCTGGCCTTCCACTTTTTAGCCACTCACAGACAAGGGAGGCTGCTGACACCAATGCCAGTGGTGTCATTCTGATTTCAGTGCATCCCCAAAATAGGTTCAGCTCCTTTAAAGTTCAGATAGAAGCCCAGAGTAGGTACACCTCCCCACTGAAACTGGATCAACTAAATGCTGCAAGTGTGGGCCACTGATCCAGATCTATACCACCATTCATGGAGTGATAAAAGTCTGAATTTCCCCATCCAATTTTCTTCCAATAACATCATCCCTGTTTAGGGGTATAAAAAAGAAAGTCTCTTTTGGTGTCAATGCATTTTTTTAAACAACCATGTGAGTGGTAACAATTGGGAGGGCAGCAGGTGGGAAGGTAACTAAAATGAAGAAGGACACCTGCCTTTAATGTAACATTTAATTTGGCTCTGAGAGGCCCCAGAATGCACATCTGTAACTGAAGAGGCCTCCGATCTCCAGTGTGCATTAGTGATCCTGGGACAGACAATGGCACCTAAAAAGCATGACTCACTAATGCCTAAAATTAATATATAATATCTTGCCATGTCTAGCAAATGTATAAACCATAAACAATGTGACACCAAGAAGCTAAAAGTTACCACTTGATCCTCAGTGTTTTGAAACAGACAGTGTTTTGTGGAGGGGAATGAGGAAAATTGGACTTTGGACTCCATGCAGAACCGGCTTTGCATGCTCATGAGAACCTTGGTCACCATGTGCATGAAGTTGGTCCACCAGTGACCAACAGCCCCAGCAAATGGTGTACTAGCATGCTAACTAGAGATGCATGAGAACTTCATTTCTGAATGTTTTTGATCAGGATTTACAAAGCCAACACCTTCAGGACCAAATGGACTCAAATGAAATCTATGATTGAAGCTTGCACATGTGCAGACTTGTGATGCATGGACTGAAGAAACTGAGTTTGCCAGCATAGATTCATGTGAAAAATGCACATGAAAAATGCACAGTTTTGGGAAAAAAATTAGCACAAATACACTTTAGTCACGGGGAGATAAATGTCTACATTTCAGAGATGTGCACAGTGATGTGTTTGGGAAAAGGTACATAAAAATACTCAGGGATTTTCATATGAAGAGAAAAACAAAACTCTCCATCTCTTAAAGACTTGATTCATAGCAAGCTTCCGGAACTTCAGCAAACTCAAATTTTGCTAGTTTGCTAACACTACAGCCTAGTTAAAATGTGGAGTCAGTTCTATGAAACAGCACACAGAGCCTGATAGTGCCATGATTAAATCAAACTGAAGGATGCTAATTAGAACATCTCAGAGTGGTGGAAACATGGGTGGAGCCTGATGGAAGCCCTTAAAAACCTTACGGTTGTATTATTCCAGGAGAAACAGCAAACCAAACAGTTCATTGACTTCACTTCTAATGAAACTATCATGAAACTAGATCCATCAAATAAAACTTAAGAACTCAACATTTCTTATATGCCATATCAAGGTTCTATTTGCTGGGAAGGGCTTGCGCTGCAGTTTCAGCTAACTGCATGGAGTGAAATAACTGGAATGACAGACTATTCCAGGGGAAAGCATCATGCATCTTGCAGGCACCCGTTACTTGCTTTTCGGGCTTCAGAGTGGTCCTTTCTCATTAACTTGGCCAGTCCTTGTTCAATGTGATCTATGTGTTCCGATCCATCACTTTTGAGTTAACTGAAAAAGCTGATTTCTTGAAAAGAAAGGAAAAGTCCATTGTTTCTTTCTGACCCAGACTACTTCCCCTGGTCAAACTATTCTCCTTTATGGATACAGCTTCTTACGAACCTGGTTGCTAACTGTGATTAGAGTTTGAATTGCTTTAAAATGGAAAGCAAAAGAAATTTAATTGTTGAAGTCTGGAATAATAAGTCAGTTGATTATGTAGCAATGGTAAGACTGTGTAGAAAGACAACCAGCCAAAGAAAATGATAAGTGGAAATTGTATTACACACAACCTTTTTAAATGAGGATAATAACAGTGTAAAATATAGGTAAAATGGATTAGAACCTTTGATAAATTGTATGAGATTAGAAGAATCTAATGAAATTTAATTATGTGCAAAACAATGTGATTGTGTAGAAAGGATAGTAATTGTTGACTTGGGTGATTTTTCTTAAATATTTGATACACTAGTTAATATTTGCTCAAGAATGTTAGAATCCTTGGGGTTTTTTTTTTTTTTAAATGTGCATTCTTATTTTTTTCTTTTGCTTCTTTTATCCTCTCTTCTTTTCAAATTTTATTGTTATTAAAATAGCATTGTAAAAAACCTATTCTCCTTTACATATTCATATACTTGGCAAAAGAAAGACACTTAGGAGTTTGCAATTTTCATCCTGAAAGGCCCTTTCATAATTAAAGCTCCAAAACTGTATTGCATTCCTCTATCTTTAAACTTTTTATTTAGAATATTATTGATCCTTTAATGAGAAGTTCTGTGTTTAGTGGAATCTCGATTTAAGTAACTCATCTGAACTTCAACTCAGCCACAAATCAATGGAACTGAAATAAACTAGTTAAATCTCCAGTACTACAGTGATATTAGTGTGGCTTTTATTAGTATACTTGTATATAGTACAATTATATTATTATGGTTATATTTTGAAGAACTATATTGAATGTTATCTGGCATCCCTTATTGTGTGATGTAGGTGAGTCTCCCAAATTTATCAGTCACTATCCAACAAGTAAGTTCTGAAATGCAATATACTGAAGAAATTGATTTAGAGAGCTTTGAAAATAAAAACATTTCTGAGGTTCGCAGTCATTTACTACCACAGCTTGCAAAGGACCCACTTCCTCCACCAATCATGTGCTGAATCAAAAATCTACTTCCTGTGTATCTTTGGGCATAACTTTTGCATTGCTTCGTCAATAGACTGGAATGAGCCAAGAGAAAAGGCTGCACAGCCCCATCCTCAAAACCTGGACTCTGTCATAAAAATGGCAACCCCTATGCTGGATGGCATCTGAATTATTCTGTCTTTGAGGTGCTCATCAAGCCTGACATGTAAGCCATTCTTGTTTCAGTTCCATCTATCTCTGTCCCAGAATTGAGGTCTGCCACTGCTGTGTTTTGTTCTCAGCAAGGTGAGCAAATGGTCAGACAGCGCAAATGTTCAGGCAATGGGAAATTCTTCTCCCATCCTTGCATGCAAATGCACCAGAGCAGCAAAGGACAATTGTGTCTGAGCACTCTAGATCAAGGGAGGGCAACCACAACTGGGTGGTGGTCAGATGACCCCACACCTAGCCCCCTGCATGCCAAATCAAGTCAATGGGCCTCAGATGGAATTTGGTCCCCAATGGGGCAGCAGATGAATGACCTTCCTGATCAGGGACAGATTTCACTCTCACGGCCGTTCTCAGCCCAGGGCAATCTGTATCCTACCACTACTCCTGTGATCCCTGTTCTGTAAGGATTCCACTGTGCAGTGCTTGGTGTGTCATCTCCACTCATAGGTCATCAAGAACAGCAGTGATGACAGCAGCCAAGTCCTACCCACTGGAGGAAACCTCATGCAGATACACAAACTCCACAGCCTGAAGATTCCCCATACCAGGTCTGGGTTTACTGCCCTATTGATTAGACATAAAACTGTTGATCCACAAAACAATTGCTTGGTTCCAGGTGAAGTAAGTTCAATTCATATCCCACTGTGAAGACCAACTGAAGTGTGCCCCCATTGATTTCAGTGGGATCTGTGTAAAGGCAACCTAGTTTGGATTTAAGATAATAGCTATAACAATTCATAAACTTCTAACAAATAATTCCAGTGAATTCACCTCATCAAACAACACTTGTAAATGAATTCATAAATGAAATTGCTAAATGCAATCTGACTCATGTCTTCTTCAGCATCCATAAGTTGTTAAACTGGTTGCTTTGGGCAAGAAATAAATAAAATCTTTTACTGATGCCTGTATCACAAATCAGAGCTTTACATTTCTTTCAGAACTGAAAGCAATCAATGTGCAGAACATGGTGATGCTTGCCCATGTAGAGTGTGCAGGCACAGAGAAAATAAGGAAAGCAATAATTTCAATTTGAATTATGGAAATATTAAAGTTTGTAAGATTGACACTCTGGATCACTGCATCTTCAAGAATTATGGACCTAAGATATTTCATATATAAAACAACTGGTTAACTAGTTTTGCCAGCATCTCTATACAACTCCATACTGAAAATTGTATTTTGCACCAATATTAGACATACAATTATATGAAGTGGCCCGATGAATCAGACCAATCAGTTAATCTAGTGTAGCTTCCTGTTTTCAGCTGTGGTCAACCAAATGCTTCCAAGACACCTACAACTAGGGCAGGTAGAACAGAAGCAGGGGTTTATGATATAGATATCCAGATCTGAATGCATCAAAAAGCTCATACACCTTTGCAGATATTAGCAGTATGAACTTATCACCCAGCTATATGATGATGAAAAAAAGCAAGATGGTCACCAAAGTGCCCTTATATAAAGGATTGGCACTCATGATTCCAGTGTAAACAGAAAGGTTTTATATGGCTTTACAATATACTGAAGGAACATAAATTTTCAATTTTGACTTGTGTTGCTTTTTAACGATAGCCACTGCAGAAGACATTACTTGAAATGCATTAGAGAGAGGGGGAGATATATAGATTATATATATATAGAAATATTCATGAATATGTTTGAATGAATTTTGAGAACCAACATATTGTTCAAGTGAACCGAGCACTGGTACACTTTTTCACCCATTCTACTTGATTGTTTTTCCACCATTTGTTAGGTGCAATAGACAACACTCTCTGTATGTAGCAACAGCAGTAAAGAAAAACCTGACAACCAATATTATGTCCACTTCATATGGCCTCATGGACTCTGGCATAAATGGAGTGCTGCCGCTTTTCTCATCATCTGCTACAGGACTGTATTCTCTGCCGATCATCCATGAACTGAGATTCTCAGAGTAGATTTGCAGAATGCACCTTGAGCAATCACACTGAAAACCAGCAAGGTCATTCTTACCTCCAATCATCCTTGGAGAGGTTAGACAAAATGTTCATCTCCTCATCATCTTGCAGAAGGCGAAATGCTGCACTAAGGTGATGGTTTTCGAGCACAGACCGGTCATTGTAAAGAATGGCTGTATCTGACCTATGAAACAAAAGACTTTGCATCTATAAACATAGACTGGGGTTTGTTTCCCCTTAAGCAGTAAATATTTTTGCTTCACACTATAACATCAATTCATTTCCAACTTCTGTATTTGAGCTGTGTATTCATTTCAGAACAAATGAAAGACTGAACTGAATAAAGCCCATTTTTTCCATTTTCATTGGTTCCAAAATGAATGTATAAAGCACCAAAATAAATGGGTCACCAACCCATGCCCAGTAGCACCATTAAGAGCTGAAAGAGCTTCAGCTGTGGCAGTGGCGATCAGTTCCTTGACTATTTCTGTTGGCAACAGTTTTTAACCAGAATGCCTCACATATGTTGTCCTGACTATTTCAGAAAAAGAAAATGAGGCCTGCTATTTTCCCCTCAGAATCTCATGGAAGGGCACAATATCTGGGGCCTTCTGGGAAAATAAAATATCGGCTATCTGCAGAAGCCAAAGAAAAGAGTTCTGCTGTGACTACCAGAACAAGTAGCAGTGTGAGCGTGCACACAATGGGTAACAGTGCCAGTTCATACACAGCTACTCAGAAGTAAGTCCAATAAATTCAGTACATTTACTCCCAAATCAGTGGATATAAGACAGCAGTCTAAAGAAAGTTGGGAGGGGGCAATAATAGCATGAAGAATGAATGAATGAACAAACAAATGAACAAGAATAAAGAAATTAAAGTGAATACAAGAAAGTGTTTATGAAATGAATGCAATTTTAACAAATCAGTAAGAAAACAACAGGGATGAATAACAGAAATGGAAGAGTAGCTTTTTTAAAATGAAGCAAGAAAAATCCTGCACACCTCACTGTATAATTTCATGTTTTGTTATCCTAATGCACACTGGGTTAATCTGTGTGACACTGGCTCTTCCCAAAGCCAGTCAGTTTCATTCCTGAACGGGGCTTTCAACTTCATGTTCCTACTCCCAAGAACAAAACTGAAGCTGCTCCAGTAATGGGCATGCTCTACATCTTTCTTGCTATATGAGGAGGTTTCAATACATGCCTTAAACTTGCAGAAGTGTATAGTTTTTCTCCTGCTGTTCGTTAAAAAGCTCCCATAGTGCTCACTCCTTAGATTTTTTTCCTATTTTTCTCAAACGTCATCAAAAGCTTCAGAAATGTGTGGATTGTAGTGGCAACTTGCTCCAGGTCATATAGGTTGTGTTTGGGAAGCATTAATTTGGTAAGTTAATGCTTAGGCTTAGGACCTGGCTACCTGAAGGACTGCCTTCTCCTGTATATGCCTACCCAACCATTATGATTTGGGCAAGAATGAGTCATCCCTCAAGGAGGTGAGAAGGGTGGTAAATAGAAGAAAGGCCTTTTTGTGGCTGTCCCCCATCTGTGAAACAGGCTTCCCCAGAGAAGTTCACCTGGGGCCAACTCTTTCATTTCAGCACCAGGCAAAAACATCTCTCTTCTCCACCTATTTTAACAATTTTAATAATTGACTTTAATAATGGATTTTAGATGCTTATTAATTTTATCATAATTCAATTTGGTTGCTCATCTCACTTGGATATGTTTTTGAATGATCTTAGTTGAATTATCATCATCATCATCATCATCATCAATTTTTATTCATATTTTTGATGGTTTTAATGTTGTTCAGTTGAAATCTTGCTGTTGTACATCACCTAGAGAGTCTAGCTGAACTACTTGGTGGCTTATGAATATAGAAATAAAGAAATAAAAAGGTTTACATTGAAATGTGAACTACAAAAGTTTCTCACACATCCCTGATGGAGGCACCTAAAATTGACATCCACCTGAGAGGGAAGGTTTAACCTGGGGTCCTGCTCTGAGCAGGGACTTGGGCCTGATGGCCCTCTTGGCTCCTTCCAACTCTAATATTTTATGATGTCATTCCAATCACATGAGACCAAAAGATGTCTTGGCTTCTACATGAACAAGATCATGCCTGAACGGGTCACGGAACACCCTCTAACTTACCTGCACTTTTGCCTAACTGGAATACACTCATTTTAATCCCTTTTTCAGTTCTGTCTAGTATTTACAGAATTTGACTAGCCAAGAAATATTTTGTCTTCCTCCTTCTCCCCTCCCATCCTGCATTTATTGCCATTAGTGTCCTTTTTTTTGTTTCCTCCTATGGTAGCTGCAAACAATTTTTCTGCAGCTTCTTCTGTGCTCCTTGGGTCCATCTGGGGCTGCAATAGCCCTCAGCAGCTTAGTCTGTTTCTGCATCTCTTGCATTAGTTGCAGGATCAGAGAGTTCTAGTATCTTATAAGTCTTGTCAAGAGACAGAGGTGCCAGAGGAGCAATAGCAGCTGAAATAGTGCGGAGAAGTGGAATAGAACAGGGCAACAGGACTGGAAAAAATATGCATCGTTTTAGAGAGCAGAGAACTACACACCACAGATTGTATTTTCTGCTCTTAACACTTTCCACTAAAAAGAAGTGCATGACATATATTTCCTGCAGTAAATATTTACAGCCCCATCTTCCAGTAATTAATAAGTGGAAACAATTTGTATACGCACTTATCTGAAAGACATAATCTTTTTTCTTTTCAATATATTAAAGAATCATTTAACTTCAAATAGTATATTGTGTTGTCATTACTGATTTATTTTTAAAAGATCATTATATATATTTTTAAAAAGAGTTAATAGATTCTACCAAGGAAATCCAAATATGAAGCTTCACTTAAGCAGCAGTTGTAATATATGAGGGTGGTAACTTCTCTACAAATACTAATTAGGGTGAAATCATTACACAGCTCTTAATCGGTTCACTCTACTTACCGAAATACTCAAACTCTTGAGCAAGGATAGAAGATTGACTTTCCTTATTATTATCTCCAAATTCCATCAAATTAGCCTTCTTTCTATAGTATCTCTGAATAGTGAAACCTTCTTTAAAAAGATATCTCAATCATATGCAGCTTTCCACATTCTGGAGGGACTCCAGCTTTTAATTCACAACATACTATACCTAACCCAGATATTCAACTTTTGTGAATTCCTATTTAGCAACAACTCAATACTGCCCTCTCAAGACTTCCTCAAGCCTTCCTCAACCTAGTGCCCTCCAGACAGTTTTGACTTTAAGCCCCATCAGTCAGCATGACCAGTTGTCAGGAATGATGGGAATTGCAATATAAACCAGCTGGGGGTAACCAGTTTGGGCAAGGCTGCTCTGCAGGCATTTTTCTCAAGGTGACATCCAAGAAATGGCAAACATTAAATGAGAGGATAGTGAATCACTGAAGGTCTCCTAGGCCAGCTAGTACACCTCCTCTTCCAGAATTAGAACATCTCAACAGATGGCTCTTCAACCTCTGCTTGAAGACCTCCAGCAAAGGAGGTAGTTTGTTACAGGGTCAACCCATTCTCATAGTTCTTATGTACATGTGGCTGCCATCAAAAGCAGAAGAACCAAGTCATGTTCTGCATTTCCCTTCCATAACACCTAGTAAAAATTGCTTGGATCCTGACATCACAGTATTCTACATTTCTCTGTCTGGGTTCCTAGGGATGCTTCTGAAATTTGCCTCATCAACATTTCTCCTTGGATTTTTGTAGCTCTTGGTCTTGTTTCTGAGTAAGAACTGAATAGGGTTTCTGTATTACTCCATGTATTTATTCTGAATTTGCATACCACTTCACATACACTGGCAAAACACTTCACAAGCATGATTATGTGATTGCATAAGGGCTAATTTTGTATAGTCTTTTGCAAATATGGGTGTATATGCTGATAAGAAAACTGGAAAAATGAGCAAATATTACATTATTGTACCTATGTTTTTGATAAAAAAAACAATTCTGCAAGCTTTAACCACACTGATGAAGTGCATGTGTATTAGTAAAACACTGCAAAAGAATTATACATACAATCATAAGAGAAAATTATAGATATGGTCACATCATGCCTTTTTACGTGGTTGTTGGTGTTTATAGAAAGGCATGTATATTCTTTAGTAAAGTAGAACGGAGGTTATTCAAATTAACCAAAGGAACTCCTGAAAACTGAGTTTCCTCTAATCCTAGATTACATTTTATAAATTTTCCTAAGTGGACTGTAAGGTGATTAAGTAGTTTGGGCATAAAATTATTTTAGCAATACTTAGGGTCCTATGGTAAAAGTAATTCTATAGTTCTATTATTGGAAAGACTGAGTCATACTTAATCAATATGGGAATATGGCTGGAAGTACATTTGGAGTGCTTGGATATTAGTGGCAAAATATTGAAAGAACTTCCATCATTGTTTGAAAGAATGAACTCATATAGTTTTTATAAATGTACTTTATTTTTAAAAGGTTGGGAAGGTTGTTCATTAAATGAGTTCTTTGATTGCTGATTTGTTATTGGAACCAACAAATAAGTATCAGAGTTCTGAAAAATTCAGTTTTGTATATATCCTGGACTGACAAGTGTTTCCTTTATTAGAATCATAGAATAGCGAAGTTGGAAGGGGCTTATAAGACCATTGATTCCAACTCCCTGCTAAGTGAAGGACCACAAGTTAAAGCATCCCTGACAGATGGTTGATCATTAGATCAAGCTAAAACTTTCCCTGAAAGCAAAAGTGATGAAACTGAGACTTTCACATTTTGGGCAGATCATAAAGAGACAAGACTCACAGGAGAAGACAATAATGCTAGGGAAAGTTGAAGACAGGAGAAGCTGAAGAAGACCAAGTACAATCCAAATATAACAACTAAAACCTGAATGTTGAATATAAGAGCTATAACGGAAGAGCTAAAATTCATAGGGTTGCCATATAAAATCAGAAACAAAGTGAGCACACATAACAATGATAACAAAGATGTTATAAAGTGTACATACTGTAACTGTAAAGTAACATTGCATACCATATATTAAGTAATCTTTCTTTCTGTGGGGTGGGCATTATTGTAAGTGCATTGTTTATGTTGCCAGCATATGAGTAATTTATATGATAATACTAATATTTCATGAAAATTAACTTTTAAATATCAAAACTCAGGAGGAGTGAAAGACAGAGCAGAAAGAAAAGAAACCAGAAGAAAAACTGAATGAGGAAAATCTTTAATTGTCAAGAATAATATTCAATGTGACTAAGTTCTGAATTAGTAACATCTTGTTACTAATCCTGAATTATTAAATACCTGGCAGGAAGAAATCTAAGTTCACCTGAATTGAAAAGGAATCTCATCTTTAAAGTCCCCAAAGAACAACATTGAGATTTTAAAATAAAGTTGAAATTTGATTTTGATGGCTATATTTAAGTTGTGAGGAGCAAAACTCTAGATTCTTGGGTGAATTTTGGGCTCATCATTTAATAACACATAATATCTATAGCTGATTTGGGTCTTACAGATATTATTTTTTCAAGATACATGAGTTTGCAAATTTGAATTCATTTTTTCTAGTTGTGCTTAACCAAAAAACAACTAAGGTAGAATCCTATACATGTTTAGGCAGAAAAAGGCATTTCCTTAGGCAGAAAGGAGAGCCAGTGTGGTGTAGTGGTTAAGAGCATGGGACTGGAACTCAGACGATCTGGGTTCTAGTCCCCGCTCAGCCATGGAGCCAACTGGGTGACTTTGGGCCAGTCACAGACTCTCAGCCCAACCTACCTCACTGGGCTGTTGTTGTGGGGATAAGATGGAGGAGGAGATGTAAGCTGCCTTGAGCCCTTTGTAGGAAAAAGGCAGGATATAAATAAAAATAAATAAATAAAAACTAAATAAAAAAGGTCCTATAAAAGACCTGCATGTTGGCCAATAAATCTGGGGAGTTGTAGGGCTTTTTTTCTATCTAAAAGTGCACAACGTTGCACCCTGAAGTGCTTTGTTTTCCACTGTTACTGTTTCTACAGGTTCCTTTTTCCATAGCTTTTGCTCCTCACCTTGTCTGGATATGAAAGTTGTTGGTGGTTCCAGTGTGTTCATAGTCATGGATGGCAGCTGCAAAGATCATAGCAAAAATTTCCAGCTCTGTCAACCAGTGCTGAAAAAAAGGTTTAAGAGAAGTCAGATTACATGTAGCTTTGTCACACTTTAAAAGACATTTTGTTTTGTAAGAAGGGTAGTTCATAGCCAGGAATCGATACTGGGGTGCTTTTTCACTGAAGGCTACCTTGATTCCAATTCAAATACAAATACAAAACTAAAGAAACCACTAGCCCAGTTAGCTTAGTACTGCCTAATCGCTTCTCCAACATGGCGCCTCTCAAATGGCGCATCTCCCATAAGATCCCAGACAGTTATCTTTTTCCCCACCCACCCTCAGCTGTTGGACAAGTCTTCCTGCTCCTCCACATGATAATATTGGCAAAATTCCATTTTGCCATCTACAAATCTGGTAGAGAATTTGGGTGTTTTGTTTTTGCTCCATTTTGAATAGCAATCACTCTTCAGAATCTCAGAGAAAAGGCTTTAGTAAGCATGCTACTTAACATAATTTACTTGAAGATACTGGATGGGTCACACTGAGATCTTTGGACGACAAAACATGTTCTTTAGCTCCCACCGGAGCACTAAAAACACTTCTTTGTGGTTATGCATTCCAGGGGAAGACTTATCCTGTATTTTATGTTATGTCAGCTGTTCCCAACCTGATGCTTTCCAATTGTGTTGCATTATAGCTCTTCTCATCCCGAAACAATGGAGAACACCAAGTTAGGGAAGGCTGGTTTAAGTTAATCACCATTACTGAATTTCTCCTGGAGGAACTTTCAAAAATCTCCAATAACTCCAGGGACCCTGAAATACAATTTGAAAACCACTCACCTAGAAGACCACAAGGAAAATATGAATTATCTGTGTTTTACTGAACAGCTACGATAATAAATCAATTATAAGATACAAGGAGGGGGAGATAAAGTTACAATCTTTCATAAATGTTTCATATATATGGGGAATTAGTTATGAAGCAAGGCATTTTTGCATTGAAACAAAAGATTCACTTTTGTACAGAGAAGAACTAGATGACTAAGAGATCTGCACACTGTAAACTAAATTAATGTTATTTCAAGATGGCAAAGAACAGAAAAAGCAATCATTTCCCATTTCTCCCCATGATGGTATCAATTTTCAACTGCCTATAATGAAGACGATCTGCTCATTAACTGTAAAACAAGGCACATTTTTCAATTTAGTACAAAAGCAAATCGCACAGAGAATCCCAGTGCTTCTGCAATTACAGATTTTCTCGTTTAAAAAGAATGTGTTTTATTATTATTTTGGGCCTTGATCGTGCTGCAGGCCTTCTATCAGTATGGCGCAGAACCCAGTTCGGTTGTAGTCTTAACTTTTAATCTGAAGCCTAGCCCATGTTAACAACACTTCAAGAGGGTTAACCTTTTCAATTGTACCATTTTCCACAACTGAAATCGCCCCAAAGATGGTGTGAATAGCCTCACCAGGGCAGTGGTGGGGAAAGGAGGCAGAGTACTTCATTGGGAAAAGGACACAGAAGAATGGTTAAAGATCCCATCTCCCGCCAACACTGACAGAGTGGCCGGATGCAAAAGACAGTTGTAATAGTTTGGCTCTCCATATCTGTCCCATGCTTTTTTGCATTTGGCCACCCTAAAGCACTGATCTGAAGCAATTCCCTGATCTTGCTCATTGAAGATGGAGGGCTTGTAAATGGGTGGTTCCAAGGAAGCTCCTCCAGCGGTTAGATGCACGTGTCTCTGTTCTCCTAACACAACTAAGTGGCTAAATCACAGCTTATCTTATAGGGCTATTCATGTTCAGGGCTACTCGGGAACAGGACGTTTGGAGGGCATTTATTCATTGGTCACCATAAGTCAGGCACAACTTGACAGCAAGTAACAAAGACAACAACAACTCATGTGTATAGTTTTATTGGGAGATGGATTTTTAGGGAGAAAGGCACTCATAAATTAGAAACATAGAAACTGAGCGAGTCAGAAGGGGCCTTCCGGGCCATCTAGTCTGACCCCCAGCTGCAGCCAGCTCTGCTCACGACATGCCTACCATGTGCATGCCCAGCCTATCCTTGAACATCCTCACCTCTGGGGCCTCAACCACCTCCCATGGAAGCCCATTCCACACCCTAGAGGGTCCATTTAAGAGGACCTTCTCTCTGTGACACCTAATTTGTGGAACATCCTTTCCAGGGATCCTCATCTAGGGATCTCGCATCTAGGGATGCCAGGGAAATCTGCAATGGAATCAAATGAGCTCAGATTTCAAAAATCTGACCTGGGAATTCTGCTGCAGACTAGCTTTTCCCAAGTTGCATGGATTCTATGAAAGTTAGGCCATTTGAAAAAATATTCCCATAATGTTAGGCAAATTTAGCCATAGAAGAATATTAAAAAAACAAATATGTGCATTTTCCTAATATGCTAAAACATGTAAAATTTTGGGAGGATGTTGATATTTGGGGAGAATAGGCACATTTCTTGGAGTGGGAAATTGAGTAAGTGCATGAAAATGTATGAAAACTTTTGTGCAAAATCTGATTCTGTCAACAAGTGAACAACAGAACAAAAGGAGTCTGACCAACTGCAAGTAGTTAATGGAACAGATTTTACAATATACATACCTCCCTAAGTGCAGCATCTGCATATGTTTTCCTTCAGCTAGAAGCAAAGTTTATTTATTGCAGTCATAATATTACATGCTTTGCACTCATCACTTGCTGCTATATTATTCTATGGTTCATGCTTTTGTGTGAGTTTTATGAAATAATTACATTGGATTCAGCCCTGACTAAATTCATGTTACTTTCAGTGCATCCCTATACATGTCTATATTGAAGTAAGTCCCATTAAATTCAGTGGGACTTTCTCCCAGACAGAGGATTGCAGAGTTAGTTCCCATTGTAATCATGGGAACTAAGTGCACCTAGCATTGTCTAGGTCAAACTATTGTATTTTTAGGTTTGCAGTTATGTATTCTTAATGTTCCCTGTCTCCTTAAGCAAACAGTGGAACCATGATTGATTGCTTTTAATAAATTAATATGAAAATATAGTCTGAATTTTAGAAAACCTTTGGCCAAATACTTTGTATGCATCTTAGGAAACATTCATTCTGATAGCTGTGCTGTGTTGTTTTTGTATGATTTTACGTATGAGGATTCTTGCCATTTTTTACTTGAATATTGTTTTGTATGATATACGTTATTTCTCCATGTGGGCTATGGTATGGATGATATTATTATGATGTACATAAATTGCTACTGGGAAGTTGCAACAATAACAGGAAAATATCCCAGGGACAAGTGTTATTGGGTTGCTAGTCCTGTTGAAATGAAATAGATTTTTGTTGTTGTTGTGAAGGGTTCATACAAGTGAAAAGATATTGAAAGCTCTCTTGCCCTTCTCCCAAAATCCTCATTAAAGGAGCAAGATTTGTCTGCTTTGCCACAATAGATCTTGCATCAAGCTCTGTGTGGCACTCATAATGTCTTTTTTGGATGGCCTTCAGGAAACTACAGAGCCTTCATTACATTGCCTGATGCTGAGACTTCTGTAATCATGACTACACAGGGTCTTATACAGCACTGCCCTCAAGGCAGTGGAGTTAATGCATTAACAAAGTTTCTGTTTGCAGGAAAAAAAATGCTAGGAATAGAGGAAAGAAAGACTCATTGATTTTATGCTCCATTGTGTTCTGCACATGAATCATATTTGGTTTTCCTATTAACTAAACTTGTGAATTTTGTCCTAGCAAGTCCACAGATGCTACAAATGACATTTCTCCATGGCAACACCGAGGAGACAATCCTATTCACACTTCGTAGGGAGGGAGTCCCACTGAGCTTAATCCTGGGTAAACATGTATTGAATGGGGCTAAATGGATGTAACTAGATATAGGAAAGGACAGTAATCCACCAATATTCCGTTTCTTCTTCTCTTTGGACTAACTTCTAACTGTACACAATATGTTACACGTTGCCATCACACTAATTCATTTTTCACCCCCTTCCTCAGATAGCTGGCCAGTGGCAGCCGATAGAGGGAACCAAATGGTACAGTGATAATACTGTAATACATTAATACTATTAATGCTGTATAAAATTAGAAATTAGCAGCAATAGAGAGAAAAAGATACAGGTGGTCTTCATGCCTGCATTCAGTTAACCACAATTTAGCAACACATCTGGACTGTGGTTGATCAGAACTATGGTTTATTGAAACAAACCCACTTTATAAAGCATAGTCTGACACTGTCCTGCTTCAGAAAATCATAGTTAAGACTAATCACAGTTAGAGACAGAATTTAGAATTTAGAGACAAATTTGCAGCTGGGGAATGGAACTATCAGCCACTCATATTGGCCAGCCAGCATCTGATAATGAACATTACTTGTTTTAGCACTGACCGACCAGTTCAAGCTGGCTCACCTGTATATGGGTGCCGGGGAACTATTCTCATGAGTAGTTGCAGTCATTTATGAGGAGGCCAGCTTGAACTGGCAGTTTTGCGTGAGCACAAAGTTCATAACCAGACAACATGTGGCAGGGATGCCACAAGTGCTCAGGTTGTTGCAGTCTGTGCATCACCGGTAGAAGGGCTTGCAGGTCCTGTTTGGAATAGGTCCAGGCCCGCCTTCTTGTCTTACCTGTCCTATGGTGCAATGCTGCCTGCTTAATGATTGAGTAGCATAGAGGTAAAAGCACACTGAAATTCAGAATATATTCTGTAAGAAGAACTAGAGTGGATCTAATATATACTTTAGCCTTGATTTATGACCCTGTTGCCAAAAATGCTGGTCACCGATGTTTTAGTGAATACTGTTCCCTCATATGATTAGACATTTGGGCTAGTTACAGAATCCCACAGCCTGAAAGTAAACATTATTTTCTGAATGCAAGGGAACAAAAAAAGTCAAATGCCAAGCACATTTATGCACCAGGCAGTAATCTAAAGGGTCTAAACTTGATGGGGAAAGTATATGGAAGAGGGGCCCACTTCAGTGCTCCTTAACCTTGGAGTTTGTCATAAATCCTATGAAATCCTGGCATGAGACATAAAGAGTGTAGCTGCTCATAAAGCTCTCTTGAAAAATGTGATTCATCTACTTACCGCTACACCCGTCTTAAAAAGGAGGTAATGAACAGTCTGCGTGACATCTGCTGCATGCATTAGGTTGTGATATGGATTTTTATGCTTGCTGTAGCCGACTTCCAGGGCTTCCACAAAGGAGACAAGAGCAGAAATTGGAATCTACACATAAACATAGGAAGGAAAAATGCATTCAGGAGAAAGGACAATTGTATTTTGTTTAACCTTCTGGATAGTAGCCAGGTTTACCCATTCACTGCTAGTTATTTTCTTTAGCATGTTAGGAAATGAGTTCATAAGGATGATCCACCGGGCTGCTCTGATCCAGAAGGTAGCATTTCTGTTTGTTTCCTGAGTTACCTTTTTGCTCTCCGGTTTTTGTTGCTCAAGCAGTGAATCCTATGGGCACAAAAGCTTGGGCAGGAGCGCAGCAGCAGTATGGGGATAGTCTGATGTGCTTTCAGACAGATGCTAGCACCCCATCTGTGCATTTAATGATACAAATACAGTATCGAAAGAAATAAAATTGAGAAATAAATAAAATGAAGCTATGTGAAGATGCCCCTGCCCTTGTGGGGCAGAATATGGAAATATAAAGCAGGATACAAATAACCTTACTTTTTAAAACTGCACAGAGATTGATATTTGTTTGGGGTTTTTGTTTGTGCAATGCTTTGTTTTAAATCTGGGGTACAGTTTTTTCCTCTTTCCTCTCCAAAACATGGCCTATACTCAGTTCTAACATTATTCTTGCACTGCTTCCGCTATAGTATCATTCTATTTCTTGCCCATGCGACTGTCCCATGGTTCATTCATTCCATCCTGTTTCCACATACATCTCTGAATCTTTTTTTTAATTCCACATGAAAAGCCACATTGAAATACATATTTTAAAATGTGCATTTCTAAATGAATTAGGAATATGCATTTCTAATTTCAGAATATGCATCCTGAGAATATGCATTTCTAAATATATTGTCTCTCAAAGTATTTATATTACATTAAATCTTATATATTTTAATGTTGATTTTGGCTTTGATTTTAGCAGAGAACCACACAAGCACATTCATCAGGAATAAAAGCCACTGGGTAATTTAAGTTGTAATCTGCACTTTGGTTTGGGAGAAACAGATCCTGTAAATTGGTACCAAAATTTGCATAGAAAATTGCATTCCTAGCTTTCACCGAGTCAGATCCCACATCAGGCTTGAAATGGGGAGACCTATGGGGTAGGCAGATGAGATGACTACTTTACATGGCTGTCTTGCACACCCATGGAACTAAATCCATGACATGGAACATAGACCCAAGGCCTATCTAGGTCAGCATTCCTGCTTCCCATCATGAGCAATTGTATGCCTTTGGGAAGCAGGAATGCAGATATGAGAGGAATGGCTCTCTCCTGCTGTTACTCTCCAATACCTGATATTCAGAGTCATTTATGCATCCTTGAAAAGCATGGTTTGCTTTTTCATCTGCTTCCAGGATAGCAGAGGAAATGATCATGCAGAAGTGGGGAACATTCTGCAAAGACCACATAAGTCTTGGTCTGTATTGTATTACAGATTTTCTCTTTAAAAAAATAGCTCTTTGCTTCTCTCTCCACATTTGTGATCTGTGTCGAGCATCTGTCAGTTCCAAAGAGGTCATTGACTTGGTTCCACAAGAACAACAAAGGGTGAAGGAAAGGCAACAGGCTCACCAAACCCAGTATCCTTTCAATGTTTCGGTCTGACTCCCATGAAACCCAGCCAGCCTGGCTAGTGGTCAGCAATGGTGGGGTTGTACTGGAGGCTGCTGACTTGGGGAAAGCTGGGCAGAATGCTAGAGAGTCAGGGAGTCAGGGAACTGGAGAAAAGACGAGCGATTCTAAGCAATCTGCTGTTGTGAGGGCAGCTTCTGCCTTTCCATGCTGGGGAAGCCACGCAGGCTCTTTTTGGGCCAAGCCAGTGGTGCAAAGTCAGGGAGCAAGTGGTTCTTGTGCCTCCTCCTTCCCCACCCAATATCATAATTGCATCCAAAACAATGCTAAATTAAAAAAAAAAATCATTAGAATTGGGGTAAAGCTCAGAGACTTGGAGGGAAAAGACTCAGTCACAGGTCCAAACAAGCCATTGCAGGCTTGCTGTAAAGAAATAGGGGATGAGAAATAATTGATCATATTGAGAGTCGGCGGACCACAAGGCCAGAATGGGTCATAACACCTGGGATGCTTGTAGTGGGAACACTGCTGAATAGCTCTGCACTCTTCCTTTGGTGAAATCAATACACATTTCTCCACTTCAGCCCAAAACCTTCTAATAACATCATGTGGCAAGTGCATTATGGTCAGGCTGCCCAACATACAAGTAACTGAGAGCGTGGGTGGAAACAGAGCCACAAAGTTAGTTATAGTCCTCCATTCAGTAAAGTGCAGGCAAGCAGAGAGGGAAAGGCACTACGGAAAGACTGACCTTGAAGCGGCTGATCAAATCATAGCGCGTGAGCAATTCGTAGAAAATGAATTTCAGTGCATGATCCCCACTAGCATCATTTAGTGCAAATACATCAAAGGACCACTTGTCTACATTCTGGAAGGGAAACAACAGTATTAGTATGTGTCTGTTTCATCTGCTGCAAGAAGAAAGCATCATTCTATGAAAGATTAAGTGGAATGTTTATCATTCAGTTTCAAAATGCTTTCATATGATGTAGCCAGTGCACCTTCTCAGGAATGTGAGACATCATAGGAATGTGACACATCAGAATGCAGTTGAGTTTTAAGCAGTCGAGCTACACAGAATTCTTTTCTTTTTTTGAGGTTTTCACATTTATTTAATGTACATCTATTCAGAAGTATGTCCCATAGAATTCAGTGAGATTTAATCCCAGGTAAGTATGTAGAGGTCTGCAGGAATCAATCTTAAGAAATACATTTTTGATTTTGAAGCACACAACAGACATCTGTTTTGGTTGTAAGATTCGCTGCTTGGAAAGATGTACATGTTAAACTTGCTTTCTATACCATATTATATTATCCTGTCTTTATTTGATCATGGAACAAAAGGTACGGTACAGGATTGCTAGCTGGTCTCCTATCCAAACACTCAGACCTTGCTGTATCACATGCCTTTAAAATTATGCCCCAGCACTTATTTTGAGAACAGGAAAAATGAAAAATGCATGATAAACAACACATGCTTATGATTTCTTGCTGCTGTTATTACTCTATGACATAGCCTCTGTAAGATCCTTCCACAATTTCTCATGAAAACAAACTACTTAATAAAACTGTTTGCATAGAGATACTGCAGAAGTTTGCCCCAGCTTGTTGGATTCTTAATTGGACACAGCAAGAGACCTCTAAACCTTTTCTTTGTTGGATCAATACACAGACAGAAAAAGGTTCCTGACTTCTCTTCCTTACATAGAGAAATTTAAAATGGTTCAATTCAAACCATGCACTCATTCTCTTCCTTGACAAATTGTTAATTGTGCAAAAGTAATTAATAGTACTCAGTGGCCATTCAGTATATTGTTTACCTAACTGTAACATGCCAACTTCAGTGGGAAATTTGTGGTTTTTAATCAACATAAATTCCGGTCAACAGTGGCTGAAAAAGAGTACCTAATCATGCAGCAAATAAGACTTACAAAGCAATTTCATTTAACACAACACATACATTATATATTTGATTATGAAATGAATATCTGAAATGCAATTTGGCTGCAATTTCCTCAGTGTGTTTTCATTTGAACTACACAATGGAAAGAACACGCACTAACATCAGGACTGCCTGATGTGAAAATAATATTTTGAAAACATGAATATCTATTTTCAATGTACTTCGACATTTAATTGTATATTTCCACCAAGTTGCAATTGACTTTTATTTTGTCACACAGATGGAAAAAGGTAGGAAAAAAGCATCACACTGTTTTGAGATACAACTTTTGAATCTCTGTGATGCTTACACTGGTAAATGGGATTGCTCCCCAAATGAAAGAAAACAAAATGACTTAGACCTTTCTTAATCCATGTTCAAATCAGACTTCCCATCTGATCCCTTGGCAGCATTTAGGCTGCAATCTCCCAAGCATTGCTACTATAGTAATTGCCTGCAATTTACTATAAGTTTATATACAGGGATGGCTCAGTTTGAGAGGCCCTTTGCAAAATGCTCCCTGGTGAAACCTCTTCTACATCGCCAGGCATCTGGGATCAGCAGTCTCAGGCAGCCATTTAAACGTCCCATGGTGCCTGAGGAATACTACATGGCCTCAGTGGGGGCATTGCAAGGGCCTCGGGTTCAGACCAGCACTAGTGGTGGGTCTTCCTGGCTTGTAGGAAACCAACAGCTGCCCAAAAGTGCTGGGCTCTGAGACCAGGCTTGCTAATCAAATGAATGATCCTTTGGGCCCTTATGCCAGAATTACTGCTACTTCTGTTCAAGGCTACGTGGTACGATCTGGTATGCAGTGAGGACCATGCAATGAGTGGGCCAGGCACTCACTTTTCTTGACCTTTCCAAGAGCCTGTGTTATCAGATGCTGAAGGGAAATCAGAGGAGGAGGGGATGGGAAGGCAGGGGGATCAGAGGGGGCAGAAGTCTTTGAAGTCCTATCAAGGTTGCTGCCTGCAATTTCCCAGGCTGACTGTGAGAGCAGATATGTTTTGGAAGAGATGGGAGGGGTCTTGAGAGAGGAGGGAGATGGCTTGCCCAATCTCTGACCCAAAGCTGTCTGGGCAGTTTATAACAACATATAAAATACAGTATACAGTACTGTAGCCTATACAAATTAAATCGTAAGACATTCATGAGCAGCTGACATGATGCCCAATATAATACTAAAACTAAGTATATGCCCTGCCAGAGATGACAATCTTAACCTGGCTCTGCAAAGGTATTAGAGTTGGTGCCAGGGGGCCCTTAGTGGGGAGCATGTTCCAAAACTGGGGATCACCACTAAGAAAGCCCTTCTCCTTGTTGCCACACACTGAGCCCTTGGAAATGGCAATTGGGGGCAGGCCCCAGATCTTGAGCAGAGTCCCTGGTACATTGCAGTTGGATGGGCAGGCCACCAGGTGCTGTGGTGCCAAGCCATGAAAGGTAAGCCAGTACCTTGAATTGGGCTCAGAAGCATAGAGACAGTCAGTGCAAGTAGATCAGAATTGATTTCATATGTTCATCCCTTCTGATTCCAGTTATTTATCTGGCTGCTGCATTTTGCACAAGCTGCAGCTTCTCAACAGTCTTCAAGGGCTGCCCCACGCAGAGCACATTGCAGTAATTTAGTCAGAGACTCCCAGACTGCAGAAACCAGGTCCAGATATGAGTTTAGCTGGCCAACCAGCTAAGGCTGACAGAAGGCACTCCATGCCACTGAGGCCACTTGGCCTTCCAGTGGCAAAGATGACTCGAGAACCCAACCGACTCCTTCAAGGCAAGTTTGACCCCATCCAAAACAGGTTGAATTCCCCCATCTGGTCAGAAGAACCTCCCACTAATAGTATCTTAATCTTCTCTAGACTGAGCTTTAGTTAGTCAGCCCTTCTCCAGTCCATCATTGCAGCCAAGCCCCAGTTTAGCAACTCTGCAGGAGATGAAAAGCAGAAATAGGAGCTAGCCATGGTGCTGAACTCAATCCCCTGGAGAGGTTTGCCACCTTGCAGCACCATGGACAGTTCCCACAAAGTTCAAAATAAAGTTGCGACAGTTACGGAGCCTCACAGACATAAGAGTCACCACCCTCTTTACGCACCTGGCCATGGGAGCTGCTTTACACACATAGATTCAGATTGCAAATGCGAGATTGAATGTTTGAATGCTCATTCATGGGAAAAACAACCCTAGGCTGGAAAGGAACCCTGTCAGGCAGAAGTCCTGGCTTGGGTTCTTCCCCCTAATATATAAGGAAAGGTAATGTGAGAGCACATGTGTACTTATATTTATTGCATTTTTTTAAATCTTGCTTTTCCTCCCAGGAGTCAGGCAACATATATGGCTCTCCCCACATGCCATTGCATGTCCTGTAATGTAGGTTAAGCTGCAAGAAAAGGCCCTACCCACCATCCTTTCTATATTAAATATTTTTATTTTTTAAAGCCCCTGCTAAATAAGTGAACACAAGTTTAAAAAATGGTTTAAAAATATTGAATAAGGCAAAGCAATCTTGAAATGTGGACTGTGGTTTCCCCTCATCTTCTAGGCAGGCAAGAAGACAAGATACATGTTAGCAGAAATTCATTGGAAATTATCTGCAACTCTTTCGGCCTTTGCCAATTATTTGGCACAAGCGAGACATTTCCTCAATCATGCATGGGCGATTTAAATCTTTAAATTGGAGGTTTTCTGCCATGTTCAGCCTCTGTTGTAGATTAGTTCCAAATTCCCTAAGGCATTCTAATTGGAAAAGCAAGATGACTGAATTTCATATGTGCACACATACGGCTGATTTGGCTCCAGCTGTGAGAGGAAAAATAAAAGCAATTCTACACAGGTCATTTGTAAACAATAAAATCTACTTAGGCTAAAATTTAATGAGACTGATCTGACAGGCACTTGACACGAGAATGGAAGGCTGGGAATACACATGCACACGCAAGCCTTGTGGGCTCCAGTTGTTAACCGCTATCAGAACCTCATGGTCCAAGCCCACATCACACGCCAAAGGGAGCAGGGTGTGCAGCAACAGCTTCTGTGCTTGGGAGGCATTATCAGGGCTGGCGTGAAGAAGAATACGCAGAATCAGGTGCCTGCCAAGAGCCTGTGCCCTGGCTGGGACCCATGGGAAGAGTCCCTTGGATTTGCTGTTCCTCTCCACCACTGCAGCCTGCTTGTACACCTGCCTCTCACTCTGGGCCAGGAAATGGTGGCGGTGAGATGGTGGCTGACATCACAGCCTGCTTACATGTTCAACAGGCAGGCAGCAGCACTGATGATGATGAAGATGAGAAGGAGGAGGAGAAGGAAGAGCAAGAGGAGCAGGAGGCGGCAGGAATAGCAGTGAGAAGGCAGACTCACCCGAGAAGGGGGAATCATTGAAAGTGTCTTGCCAAGGAGTCCCCAAACCTGCAGCCGGCACTAGGTAAAATGAAGCTTCCAGATGAGCAACGAGTGCAGATTCTCCACATGCATTCCCAAGTGATATTTTATTTTACATATCTGTGATATTTCTCAATGTTCAGTTCTAACAGAACCAAATGAGGAAATGATGGAATGATGCGGTGTGAATCATGAACAAGGGACTGAATTGAATCTCCATCCTCTGACAGAAGATGCTTTCTCCAATGGAAAGTGGTCCTTCTGCAGAGGAAGGAAACTTTTGCATCAAGCCAATGGGAATCAAGTATTAGTAATGATTAAACATATGCAGTGGCAAGTGTATTTACTTTGTGCGCCAAGTGGAAGTCATCTGCAGATGTGACTGCACCCATGCGTGATTTTTAGCAGCTACCACACTAACCTTGTAATGCTGGGCCAAGGTGAATGAATGAATGAATGAATGAATGAATGAATGAATGAATGAATGAATGAATACACACACACACACACACACACACACATGACTCATCCATCCAATAACCAACTGGTTTGAAAGGTCTGTTCATGGATTTCCTCCTGTACCTCATCAGCTCTCCCATCACACAAGCACAACTCCTTTCAGATGTTTAATCAAAGTAGCACTTTTCTGATCAGCACTAAATAGGTGCTATATTAAATTTCCCAGAAAGCCTCTAGAATGACACATCAGGCATTCTGGGAAATTTAAAATCATTATCTGTAAATGCCCACTGCCAAGGGTCCAGAACAGGGAAGGTGCCATGGGCACCTTGGCAATTGTGTATCAATTGCCTCTCAGTACCTGACTTAGACAAAAAAATGTACTGAAATTAGAAAGTCTCAGGCTGGGATCCTATTTCCCAGCAGCAACAGAAGAAGTAGGTGAAGAAGTAGGAATTGATCGCCTCCAACATCCACCCAGAGTGATGTACAATATCTATGTGCAGGTGTCTACGTGCGCATACATGCCATGTGAGCTTGATTTGTGGAGGGGGAATCATTCAAATGTGGTAAGAGTGGAGGGGTACTTGCCCCACTCTTCCACTAACAAAACCTGTTACCTCTGGTAAATGTCTGAACCAGGGCTGGCACTCTATATATATGCAGAGAAATGAATGATTAAAATGACAACATGGTTGCACAACATGCATTTTAGGCTAGGATTCTTTGAATGTGCTCCTTTAAAAACCCTTGCAGATATTGTTCCATTCCATTAGCCACAGACACCTTACTTTCCTGATGGCTGTTAAACCTAGACAAGAGCTAAAGGTCACTGGGCCACTCCTGAACTATGACCATCTCCAATTTATGCCCCCACGCATCACACGCTCCATACTACTTAGAGCAATGCTGTATGGCTGTTGATAACCCCGCAAACTCACAGGATTGTGAGTATCTTACGGAGGCAGGGAGAAGCACGAAGCTGACAGATGCCCTGACCTTCTTCTGTCCCCCAAGACTCTTAGCCAATTTTAGCTGCCTCAGGGTGTGCCTAGAAGCACAAAGATAGGAGGTTGAGGTAACACTAGCTGGAGGACCCTGTCTTTTCCCCTGCCTGCTCCCTCCAGGGATGTCCAGAACACTCCATCTCCTAGGTCACCGTTGCAACCTCAGGGGGGCAGCTGGTGCAGTTCTTTCCAGACCAGCTGGGAGAGCAGGGGAAGGGGGCACTGCATTCAGACTCCCAGCTCCAACCTGGAAGTGGGTTTCTGAGTTTGGAGCTGGGACTCTGAACTCTCCAATATCTTCTAGACGGTATCTAGCAGCCAAAGGATTGCACCCTTAATTATGAGTATCTGTGTTAAATTAAACTCCAGAGAAAGAAAGGTAGTGTGCCCAGACCTCAGCGTAAGATCGCAATGCCTTGCAGCAATTCCTAAACAAGAGCCACTAGCCATCATTACCTTTAGCACTCCAATTACAGCCGGTGGGTAGCTAAGTCCAACCATATTGGATGTTCGCCTGTACATTCTGTCGGGATAAAATAATGTAATGAGTCTATAGAATAAAAAAAAAGCAGGACAGAGTTCTGTCTATATGCACACAATTTAGCTAAACAAAATTATTATCATCTCCTCCTTTATCCACCACCACTCCCTCCATCCACCGTGCATTGATTTCCACAGCACAGTCTCCCATTCAGGCAAAGAGTTCAACCCAGAGATCCCAACATGCAAGTGGCATTGCATATAATCATGGCCACATGTGGTTTGATATCCATTCACTTAAGATGCATGTAGCCAGTGCAGGGGGACAGAAGCCTATCACTGCTGTAGCTACTTCATGGCCTGCTACGTCGGTTTGATGTTGCAGGATCAAGCTGTTGATCAAGATGGGATTCCTTTGTTCTGGGTATGCAGAAGGCTCTGGAATGGCTCTGGTCTTGTTTTCTGCATAGATAATGCAATCCCACAGCTGCTGCACCTGTGAAACATCCCAGTCCATTGAGTAAGTAGATCACTGGATCAGGGGAAAGGGAGGCTTACTCGGATGAGCTGCTATCAGCTTCACTTGTTTTTAAGTGAATGTGTGGTGGCAGGCTTGGAAAAAAAGGTCATTTTGGCAATTAACACTTTAATGCAAAAAACACAACTGCAAAAGCAGTTTTCTGCAAAGTATAATTATGAAAAGGACTATTTAGTGTCACTCAAAGAGCAGCCCTGGCCTTAGCGATGAGAACATAAAAAGCAGCCTCCTTCTGCACAACATTTTGCTTTGTCTCCAGCTTGGTTAACCTGGAAGAGAATCCATTTTGATTTGAAGTCAAAAGCTAATGCTTAAATCTGTTGACTGAAATAATTCAGAGTGGCTCTGGTGACACTGGTGTGGAACATTTCTCAGTTAAGATGTTCCAAAGCACTCTGCACTGATGGAAATCCCTGAAGAGAGAAAATGGATTTTCTCGGCCAACACCAGATGCAACCCTGACCTGTGTGCATTGGACTGCCTTGTTAAATCACTCCTTTCTGCAGCACAATTGTTTGTTGAATATAAATACAATTAACAAGCACACAAACAAATACTGTATCTAAAGTTGAGCTATTCCTTCAGTATTTAGACACTGATTAATTATAAGCACTTGTTTATGACACAGCACAACTTTGTTTCAGTGTTAAAGTATTGTGTTGTTGTTTTTCAACCCATTGAAGATTATCATATATTTCTTTAGTTATTTAGAATACTAATATAAGCATTCTCTGAATCAAGGGTTCTTGAGGGTGTTGTTTTCACAGTTTGTATACAGTTTATTCTAGGGCCATACCTAAAGCCCACTCTGTGCATTATGTTATTTATTCAAGCATTCATATACTCATACATATGTCCAGAAGTGGCACTTATACTGCCATTCATGAATTATGAAATGTTTTTCATGTGAATGTAGGAACTGATGAAGTTTAGATTATTACTGATCTCGAGCAATGCCAGAGAGTCGATAATAATTGATACCTAGCAAAAACTGCATAAAAGCATTTTATTGCAAATAGCATTGCAGAGGTAAAAACATTCACTTTTGTGTAAATTACCTGGATACCATAATAAAAATAATAATGATGAACCAACACATTGATGCAACAATTCCATGTTTTAACTTCAGAAACGGCCATGTCCAATTGCAGGTGTGAAGTTCCTCTTAAGCATGTAGTTTTTGGAGATTCTCTAAATACACTCCTGACCAACATAAGAGATGCAGATGCTTTTCTCCTTTGGAACCAGTGGCTGTCTAAGCCCTCTGGCTGAAAGTTTCACGGGGAAAGAAACATAAGGAAATCAAACACAACAATGGATCCACAATCATGTTGGAATGTGAAATATGAAAATGAGAGATGAACTGGTTTTTGCAAATGAGTTCTCAAGTCATAGAACCTATTTTATAGCCACAAAAAAGGAAAATATCTTGCTTCATCTCCACAAATATAGGAAGATCCACGTATATGACAAACACCAGACATGTTTCAACCATGAATTGGCATTATTTAGAGTGTAGTGAGGCAACAGCAGTAGAACAGTTGGTGGCACCACACTGGATACAATTCAATGAAAACTGGACATTATCTGAGGGCCTACAAGATTATTTGGTGACCCATCCCCCTCGCAGCGCACATGGAATGAATTACACCAGCGGCATCTCCAAGGTTGGATACTGGCCTTGGAGTAGATGAAAACATGCATGCCAGGGGTGGAAGGGGAGGAGGCTGGGGCCAATGGCTTATGCTGTATCCAGACAGTACCCCAGCCTGCCTTCCTCCCCATTCTTCTTTCAACTTTTTTGCGGGGGGGGGGGGGCAAGGAGACCTCTGTGTCACAAAGGATGCAACTTCCAATTAACGAAAGTTGGCTTGGATTTCTGAATCTTTCTTTATAACATCAGGCCTACTTGTTGCCAGTTGCAATTGTGGTCTTTTCTGCTTAAATCAGATTTTCTCCCTTGGTCAGTTTTGGAATCATCTTGTCTGGGTCCTGTCTCTAAATGTGTGGCATTAGTTTTCTCAGCATATTAAAATGGATAGGGCTTCTCTCACAGTTATGGCTATTAGAGATGTCTGACCTCTAATGTTACATCAACTCACTTTTGATCCATTTTCTCAAGTGAAATTGACTAAGCTGGAAACCCAGATTTAAAATTTGGTAAGAAAATGATTTGCGGCAGACTTTGATGGTTAAATTGATATTTATCTTGGATCAGCTAGTAGGTGCTAAGGGCGAGTTTCTGTCATGCTTGACGTTGAGTGCCACAGCTGAATGGCAGAACTTGGAAGTGCAACATTGTTAGAATCCAGATATAATCCTGCTGCTTTTAAAGGTTCAGAGTATTCTTTGCTGTCTGACGCATTTATTGAAGCTGATCCATTATATCAACCCTTGATCCAGGTGCATAAATACTTATTATTGCTGAATAAATATTATAAACAGGCTTTTAAGCAGGAATGGAATAGGGAACTGGATTGTCTCATTTTGCCTAATCAATGGGTTGCTGCTTTAGCATCAGTATCTGAAATATTTATGGAACTCAAATTAAATCTTATTCAGCAAGAACCCTCGTACTATTCCTACTGGATGGCAAAATATATCTTTAATAAGGGTTATTCTAAGTCCACTAATTGCTAGAGGTATAGCACAACTAATACTTTTTTTAATGATATGTTGTGGCAATGACCAATGATTGCATATTTTTTGGAAGGAGGTTATTATATATGGAGAAACTGCATACTGGAACACTTTAAAAATATTTACTTGTATATACATGTCCTTTTACACTATGTGCCTGCTTCCTGGAAGTTAATGCACAGTCAGAACAAATTGATTATCTGTTTCCTTTTCACAGCTAAATGACTGATAATACAAAAGTGGAAGGATAAAAGGTTACCTCCTATAAAGCAATGGATTAAAAATCTTACAATGTTTTCAACATCTGAATGTGTACCGTATAGATGCCACCCATGAATGGATACTTATATGGATATTTAGATACTTTTGTTGAAATTATATATTAACCTATATATAGGTTAATATGGCTTCCTAACCTATATATAGGTTAGGAAGCCATATCACATACAGGTATACATGTCATTTGCCTGTACTGAAATTGATAAATTCAAATTTTGGGGACATGCTATTAGGCTATTGCTATTTGACTTTACTGCAAGATTGGAATGAGGGGCAGGATGCTATTTTTCATGTTTTTAATGAGAAATTGTGATTGTTGTAACTTAGGATTTTTGAGAATCTGATAAGGGTGTGAAAATTCAATTAATTTTCACAACTTGGCCTTATGGATTTCAGTTTGTTTGTCCTGTTCTGTTAGTCAGCTTGCACATGGACTTCCTTGCTTCTCTAAGATGTAACCATGTTTTGCACATGTAAATACACACACACAAAGGAAATTTACACAAATCTCATGATTTGCACATATCAGAAGCAGAAAAATACACCATTCTATGAAGAACTACACAAATATTGCTGGAATGATGAAGTTTTTTGCTTCTGAATTATCTCTAGAGAGATAATTCCCGGTTGTGGATAATTCCTGGTTGTGGAATTATCTGCCTAGATAAGCTCACCTCTTCACCTGGCACTGAGAAGATGATCGTCATGGCAACGATACATTCTTTTCAGTGCCCAGTGAAGACCTTTTTAATTTTCCCCAGGATTTTTGACCTTCAGTTTTAAACATTGCATTAGTGCATTTTTAGATCTTTGTGCCATTGCTGGCTTTAATCTTGGGTACTACTTTGGTTGTATTCGGTTTTAAAGTTTTGTTTTAAATTTTATATTATGTTTTACTATGTTGTTGCATTTTATGTTTAAGCTTTGACTTTGCTTGACCACTCTTTGGTGCAAAACAATGCAATCCTCCTTTACCTCTCCACGAATATCCCGGCTTGAACTGCATGGACAATGCTTCTGAACCTTGGCTTCTCCTCAGTCCTTTTAAGCATCATCCCCATCTGCCGTGTGAAGGTGGAAGCCAACCAGTCCCGTACCTCTGAGGGCACGGAATCTGACTGGATGTCACTGAGCTCATCTTCTGTATCCAGCAGACGCCTGTGGGAGAAGAGGTGGAGAAGTGGTAAATCAAGGTTTCCTAAGAGACGGCTTTTCTCTTGCTATTGTGCTTACAATTGTCGCACATGCAAAACCCCAAAATCTGTTGGTTGGTTGTTGTGTGTGTTGTTGATATTTTGTAAAAGTAATAAAATACATTGCTGACAGTCAGTTCTTTCTACGGACAAGAGCAGCATGTTCATGCTGCAAAGGAGCTTACTTTTAGACAGTCAGAACAATTATTTTTCCAGAATCATTCCACAGGTTCAGTTTTGCATGCCTAAATACTTGGCATGTTTTCAGGACATAATCTGATACTTACAAGATTTTGTATATGGTTATTTTCTAAGGACAGTTTCCCCCGATTAGGTTAAATAGATAGCCAATTTAAGTGGGTAAACTGGTGCCCATCCCATAGATGTGCTTAGCTCAAAGGTTCAGGATAAGCAATGACCAACTGAAATATTTCCACAGATTGGGAGGGAAAGGAAGGAAGGGAAGAGCCTGTAACAGCATAATAAACAGATATTAAAAACGTTTGCATCACACTTGCCCTTGCACTACTCATTCCAGTCCTCTGGTTTTTCCAGGTTTTTCTACAGGAAGCACAAGCTTACATCTTATACTTGATGTGGCTAAGCCACCAGGGACTGGGCAGACCTTTCCAGTAACTCTGGAATAAATTCCACCTCTCTGCCAAAGAAAACTATGGAAGAAATTCCAGTTACCTAGCCAGGTTGTAATGTGGATGAGGCCCAGCAGATGAGCTTCAGAGGAATACTTTACAACAGGCACACTTTAGGCTTGGGGGATCTATTTTGTTTTTCACTGCAACTCAGAGGCTCTCGCACTGGGGCTAGGTGAAAAAGAGTGGGGACTAGAAAAAAAAAGAGTGGAAGCTAGAATCCACTCAGAAAGGAAGACTTCAAATAGCAGAAGTGGTGCATCTGAGCACAAGCTCAGTCCAGAACTGGAGCGTACTTGCACAAATCCTTTCACAAATAAATGCTTGCTAGTTCTTCCCTATGGGATTTCAGCAGCTCCATTAAAGAGGATATGTTATTTCCTGTTTCTGTTGCTAAACCATCAAGGGCGAAACCCCCTGACTCACCTGCTGCAACCCATCCAGAAATCTACCAGTCAGTGCTGACTGCCCTTCTGCTCACCCCAGGTTGCAATATTATATTATTTGGAGATTGCTTTTATCATGAAATAAAAGCAACATGTGGACTGAAGGGAAGTTGGGATAGGTGTAGCTCACTTGGATGGGAGGAAGTGTCTGGGAACTTGGCATAATGTCATGGAAATAATGGTTGATTCATTACATTTCCATCCCATCTTTGTTTCTCTTGAAAGCGACCAGGGCAGCTTTTATAATCTTCCTCCCCTCCCTTTTATTCTCACAACTCGTAGGCAAACAGAGTATGACTGGCTGAAAATTACCCAGTGATTTTCATGGTTGAATGTGGACTACAGCCTGCATCTCCCAAGTCCCCCTCCACACCTTAACCATTTAGGCAAATTTAACTTTCATTCTTTAACATGCATCTGCTTATTATTATGAAATTGCTAGAAACATTTCTTTGTCTCTGTTTCTTATTTAAAGTAATATTGGAAAGACATATGTGACACATCAAGGGCAGTATCCAATGTTATTGATGCATCAACAGGACCTACCATTAGCACACTTTGAATTTAGCATGTTGTATACAAACTGGAAATGAGAGGATATGCTCATTTTTGGAAAGGGACAGTCAGAAAAGCTTGCATAAAAGACTTTTACCAAGCTACACTGATCGGGAAATTAGCATTTCTGCTCATTTCAGAGCTTGCTTTATGAAGTATTAAAGCTATCTTGCACAGGCAATGTTGCTGCCAGAAAAATGGAGAAGAATACTGTTGGATACTACCCATGAATCTAAAAAAGTGAGGTATAAATTGGAAAAGGAAAAGGTAAGCAGCAATGTACTAAAACAGTGGTCTTACCTGGTTTCGTCAATGTACACAGATTCAAGTACTGTAGCTGCATATTCCAAATTCTTTTTTAAGTCAACAACAGAAGCCTCTCCTCTCTCTAGCTGCTTTACCAAAGATCGCAACCTATGAGAAGAAAAAAAGAATTTGATTTGCACAGATTCATCAAAGGAGTTCTGATTAATATCTCGCACAAAGAGCTTGATTTCCTGGTGAGAAACAGTCATATTCACATCATATGGAGACTAAGATATTGTATTTATCAATGGTCATAATCCATAATATAAGCTACATGGGCAACAATATCATACACACAGACACCTAGTAATCTTTGAATTCATCTACAACCTTACTCAAGCAGCTTCTCTGGCCCCCTGGTAGAAGATTATCTTTTTAAAAAGCATATCCACTCTTTCTGGATGGCTTTCTTACAGGTCTATCTAAAATTAGTGAGCAATGAGAGCATTCTGTGTCCTGTAAGTTAGAGGTGGAGAACTTGTGGCCTTCCAAATGTTGTTGGGCTCAGCTAGCATGGTCAATGGTCAGGGATGATGGAAGTTGTAGTCCATCCACATCAATTTATAATCTGTAATTAACTGTGAACAGTCAAAATTGAAATAGCACACTCCAATCAGACCCAGATCTGGAAGGTTTCCCACCTTTTATACCACCAAGGTTAAAATACCAAAAGAATGAAAAACAAGGTATTAGCTTAGCCAACTGAGACTCATGGCCATATTACTCGTATAATAGCAAAGCATTGATTTAGTAGCTTTGAGTTTACCATCTGGACAGAATAAGGAACAAAAATACAACAAGTCACCATCTTTGTTTCGTTGGTAAATGTCCTGAGGAAAGAGGCAGCATCACCTTTTCCATACATCACTACCTTAACATATCCTAGCAAATAAAACTAGGTGTGCTGATGATAAGAAGTGGACACAGTGGAGATCCTGCCCCATTCACTCACTCTTTGCTCCATTCATTTTCTCTTCCATTTCAGAGAGATGGAAACTAATCAAATCTGCTTTCCCCGTCCTGCCCTGAGGCATGTTTTCTCCTGTATCAGAAGCCAAAAAGGAACAAGATGGCTCCCAAACAGTTGGAACCAAGAGGTACAAAAAGATTAGTTAACAAATTGGTTACCATCAGCATTGTATTACAGTCATATGACCCACAGAAGTTGAACACAAATAAGAGAAAACACGAAATTCTCCCATGTAGCTAATACAGTCAGTCAGTGGAACGCTTATATGTATAGGAAAGAGAAAAGGTTAGTAATCCATTCTGCACATTTGAAACTTTCTCTCATACACAGTGCCAATCTTTTATCTGGATGCTCTGGTAAACTAATCAGAAGTCGGTAAATTAGATGATTTCTCAAATCAATGAAGAAATGACAATATAAAAGCACGTGTAACAGAGTTTTGGGGATTCCTGCCCCACATGGGCACACTCTACTTTAGAATGGAATTTTCAGAAATGAATTACTACCATTGATAGAGCATTACATCTTGCAAGTATAAGTGTACTATGAGCTTGTATATATTCATGATAAGTCATCTAAGAAGGTGAAGCACCATAATTTGGTGGAATCCCATGGACCAGGAGGAACAAGTTCTATTAACCAAGGAGTATAGATTTTTGAATTTCAGTATCATCTTGAATCCAAATTTTAAAAGTTGCTGCTGCTCCACAAATTGGTTATCAGATTTCTCAAGGTGTTTTCAACCTCTGTGCCTCTTCTTCAGAGGAAATGACTCAGTAATTAAATCAATAACAGAACAGTTGGAATTTACATGTCAAAGGAATATAGTATGCTGCTTTATACTGAGCCAGGAGTTTAGACAAGCGAGCCCCAGTGCTGCCAACACTGCCATTGGGTCCCAGCATTTGCTAGCTGTGCCTGGAGATGCTGGGCTTGAACTTGAAGCTCGCTCCCTGCACAGCAAATGCTCTTCCACTGAAATATGGCTGCTGTCCCTCTGCTCAGCTTTGGCCACTCTCCAGTCCTACTTCCTTATGTTCCAGCAAAGTTTCTGTCATCCAAAATTGTCCAAAAGCAGCTGCTCTCTCCAAATGAGGTGTGAGCCATTTCTTTTTGCTATTAGACATCTCCACCCTGCCTTGGGTGTGATTCTTGGGAGCAGAAGTTGTGGAGATCATGAAGGATGAAAGGGGAAAGCGGGCCTTGGAAGCCTCGATCTGTAGAAGTCCATTCTCATGTACGTTGGTGCTCCAGGCAGCAACACTCACTTTCTTCCACTTCTTCTTCCCCTGCCTTGGCAGCCACTCTCTTCTTTTGTTACCCACTACCCCCACTTTCCCCTGCCCCTCTTCTGCTCCCTCTGCCCCAGCTGCAGCCACCCTCCTTCACTTTACCCCACCTTCCCCTCAATGCCCCTCTTCGAGGCTTCCTTCCTCTCAGTGGTGACGGAGTTTGCCTTCTAGGTTGCCACGACATGTCTGAACTCCAAGCCTCCCTTACCCAGAATTCTCTGCTCAGTTTGAGGCAGGCCCTATTAAAGTAAAGTTTTGGAGTCTGGCAAGCTCTGTGGAGATACCAGCCAGTTTCCTCCACTGGCATTTGCTGCTGCAGTCAGTAGGACTTCCTGGAGAGAGAGAGAGAGAGAGAGAGAGAGAGAGAGAGAGAGAGAGAGAGAGAGAGAGAGAGAGGAGCAGGAGGTGTGTTGCCACTGCTTTAAGAAGGTCTTCTTGTGCCCAATATTTGGCAGCTGCCATCTTTGCAGACAAACATATATGCTCACATATCCTGAGTCAGCCCTGGATGTGTCTGTGAAGCCTCCATTGATAGCTCTGGGTATCATGCCCCACACTGATTTTATTTAATAATGAAAACACTAAATATAGCCATCATTAAAAATAGCACAGGAGAACTGAAACAAACACTGAGATTATTAGTAGTCGTAGCATTAACAATTATATGCTGCCTTGTCTGCATCACAGACCATCAAGCTAGTGTGTGACAATGTGAAACACAATTCAAAGATATAAAAGACAAAACGTTTACATGCTATCAAAAGAAATAGTGCTGGTCAACCAAGGAAGGCCTTCTGAGATAAAGGTGTCTTCAGGAGATGCCAGAAACAACCTCGTGTCGGTGTCTGTCTGAGGTAGGGAGTTCCACATAACTGGATCCACCTCACTGGATGCATAGGATGGGACCATCCATTCATGTGGGCCCACCAGGGTCAGGCCTTCTGATGACCTCAGTGACTGGGTGAGAGAAGGGAGAAGGCCTTCTACCCTACTCCCAAGTTGTTGTAGGGTTTTGCAACACTAGTGCTCAAACCTTGAACCCGGCCCAGTTGCAAACAGGCAGCCAGAAACCCCTGTTTGTGCTTCAGTTTATGTAATTGGCTAAGTGGGAGTCTGCAGCTTTCTTCTGTTCGACATTCATACACAACCCAGGCAAAATGAATGTGTCCAACACTGCGGCACTAGCATCTATCACACCAGATGAGAAGTGGCTCAGATGCATCAGTCATTGGACAAAAGCGGAGGGCCTTTGAAACTGAACAGTGTGTTTTGCATGCACAAAAAATGAAGTTGCCTTTTCTTACCATTTGTTATCTGTAACTGCCTTTAAGATTTATCTGGGAGATGCACCATCAGCACCCATGCGTCTTCAGTGGAAGTGAGTCTGATAAATGCTTTTAAAGCATGAGTAAAGCTGTTTAGAATAAAATGGATTTTTCATGACATCAGGTTTCTCAAATTGCTCCAAGTCTCTACTGCATTTCTGGGATAAGCTCGTGGCTGGGAATGATGGGAGTTGTAGTCCACCCCATCTGAAGGGAATTTAGTTGGCGAAGGCTGCATTGCAATGCACACCCCGACATGTTTAGACAGAAGGAAAGTCCTGTAATCCCAGCATTACCCGAGCCAGTCAGGGAATTAGCAGCTGGGTTTCAGAGCAACACTATGGCTCTTGGACACCTTCTTGAAAGCCAGTGGCTATAGAGGAGATCCAAACAAGAATCTCACCCCAGGGAAATCTTGCAAGCAGCTTCTATTCTGGACGGACATCAGCAGGGGACACAAAGGGGAATCAGGCCTTGCTGACAGGACTTTGCATAGATGGAGTGGAGTGGTAATCCTTTGTGACATTTAATTGCTCAATGATTGCACATATGTAATTTTTAAATCTGTCTTCCTTATTTTTATCCAAATTGTTAGAGATAGAAAGCCACACTGCTGTACTTAAAGGTTCCTCAGAGTATCATAGTTGGGGGAAGTTGGAAAAATAGGATGAAGCAATAGACTCATAAGAAATAATAGCTATTCTTCCCCAGGATAGTTCATTCCTTGATTCCTTTTATGTATTTTTGTTCATCTGTTTATTTCATCTCATGCCAAAAATGAATGAAGGATACAAACGACATGATGGGTCAGTAGGACAAGCTCCAGCTTTCCGGGGGCCTTGGACAGGCTGAATGAGGTGGGGGCTGCTGTTGTCTTTGGCCCCATGCTTGCCACCCCTTGGACCCACTTCCTCATGCAGGGCTGGCTGCCAGCAGCCCCATCGTCCTAAGCAGCAAGTGCGCTTGACCTTGCAAAAGCAGGAGCACTGCTTCCAAGTCAACCCAGTGGTGATCCCTGGGAGTCTGACTTCCCCTTTGTGTGGCTCCCAAGCCAGTTTTCCCCAGACACTGCAGTGAGCCTCCTCTAATGGCTATCCAGAATGTCTCTCATCCATCTTCCATCCTTTTCCAAAAGAGTACAGCTCCTTTGAGTGCAAGAGAAGCTGAATGCAGAAGCCAAGCAAGTCCACTTATTTTTGATTACTGCAACATCCTTACATTTTGTGCAAACAGTGAGCTGCAAGATGCAAGCAATGAACGGGCTCTGGAGCTCATTACTGTAAATAAGAACATATGCTAACTCAGAAGACTAGATTTATCCTGAAAGGGGCACATGGACTAAGCTTTCCAATTTGTTTTTTGTTTTTTTAATTTTACAGAATGACTTTGCTGCTGTCTCTCTTGGGTTTCCAAATGCTGGCCTTGTGTGCTAACAGTAAAACTCAGGCATTTGGCAGGTCTGTTATGAATTCTGCAGTCCAGCTGGAAACTAGCCAGATTGCGTTTCCATTCCTTTTCCCT